TATCGATTTTCATGTATTTTTAAGTTTCATTTTTTTAATTATGTCAAATTGAAGATCCAAAAAATTTGAAGAACAACCTTCCTGAAGATTTGATACGTCAAGTTGAGGATGTAAGTTTTTATCCAAACCTGATATAATCAATATTCTCAAGTGATTTCCACACAACGGCGAGATCGATCAAAATTGCTGTATGATTTACAACCGGTAACTTTCTGCCAACAGGCATATCAAATTTATAGCGAATAAATTACGTGTTAAGAGCGTCTTGTGTGTTTTCCAGGATGATTTAGTTGGACTCGGCGGGCGACCTCCGCCTCTGAAGAGCAGCCAAGCAATATTTGCAACGCATAAATCTCCTCGTCTGGCTGCAGGTCGGGAATTTTTAATACCGGCCCAAGCAGTAAAATTGCCTCTCGCAAAGTCAATTTGCTCGAATGTGTTTGTTTCGTCTTTCCAAGCGACTACTTTCATTCTTTATTTGGTATTCATTGCTTTTTCCGCCTCGGCATTCTTCATATCGCCCTCGGCTTTCTCGAGTGAATACCAAAGAGGCTCAGACTTTTTCGCAGCAATTTTTATTTTATTTCACCGACACAATAAGGAAATTTTGTGTTTTACGCCAGCTTCTGAAGTGCGGAAATCTTCACAGAATTCAACACTTCCTTGTTTCAGATTAATTCCTTCTTGTGAGATCAATTAGGCGAAGGGTGCACGAGGGGTTGATTAATCATTTCGGCACGTGCGCTGAAGCGAACTTATTTTCAAGAGTGGTGCTCGCGGCTCCAAAGTTATTAATGAGAGCTTCTGGCCCCGATCAAAATGGCCGTCGACGAGGTTTTTGCAGAAATTCGACGCATTGTGAGAGGAAGAAGCTTTCAATGATTCTCAGGAACGGCAAATAATCTTCAAAATGACTTTTCTCGGAAGAATCTATACTTTTCCTTAGTTACATCAACTTAGCTGGTTTCACCTCACAAACAACTTGATATTACTCAGAGATGTAATGAATCAACAAGAACTGTTGAACAATAAGAAAGCTTGTTTCAAACAAATTAATTAATTGCTTTCGTTAGCGAGTTTTAATTAAAATCTAAATTGAAGCACAAGAAATGAAGCAAAATTGATATGAACAATTTTCTTTTGCTGTTATTTGTCAATATAAGTTGATAATTTTTACAAAGAAAAATTAGAACTCTATAAATTTTCCATTAATTTCCAAATTCAAAACCTATCTCAAGCAATCTCAAGGATATCAATTTTTGCATGGCATTCCAAAACACTATTGTTGTCTTTTTACTTTTCTGAATGAATTTGAAAAAGTAAAATTTTAATTAAAAAATATCAGTAAAATTAACAATAAATATCTTTATAACATCTTAGTTAGTTATATGATGACCAAGTACGAAAATTAATTATTTTCAGTGAAATTTTCTGATATCAACACTGAAAAGTGAAAAGCTCGTTAGGAGATCGAAATGAATTTCTCTGCCATCAAACGAGAGCTCAAAAGTCGGAGGCCGAAAAGTCATTTGGCTAATTACTGATTAAATATTCAGCGGTTCATTTTGCTAATTGCCGCAGCCGAGGCAAATAATTAGAAAGTTGGAGTTGATTAGCACAAAGTTGCTCTCACTTGCTTTGCCGGCGAAAGTCCATCATACACACGAGAGCAGCTGGCACTTCTCCCGCCCACCATAGTCCTTACGTGGCCGACAACTTTCAAACAATTTGCATGAATAATATCCTTTCGCGCCAAACTTGCAGTCTGCCGCTGTGAAAAACGGCAAAAGCGTGTTGTGTGCAGGAAACGAGCTGCTTTTTAATATAATGATTTTCCATCTGCACGATGTTGCTGTTGTTATTTTGCTTTGAAGAGGCACTTGGTTGCAGTCAAAGTGTGATAATTGACATGGAAAACTCACCAGGCCTCTTGTGACAAGAAGTGGCTAAATTTTTCAACGATATTTGCTGAATTAAAAGGCACTAAACTAAATTGGATTATAAAATCAAAAATTAAGGAGGAAAATATAAAATTACAATGGTTATGAAATTTTAATTGGAAGATTTTAAAATGGTTTTTTTAAGTATTTACATGAAATGAAAAAACCTTTCAAAGGGAGATGCGATCAGTTTACAAATTTGGCAAAAGTGAATCTTTACACAGCCTTCTATCCTTTGTACAGGCTGCTCCTTTGATCAAAGGATTTGTAACGTCAGAAGCAGGAAAATACGTTGTTAAAAGATATCTGCTTGCAATTTGGCAAGACTTCTTTGAAAGTTCGGAAGAACATTTTTAATTTGATCTTTGATATTGTTGAGAAAATGTTTCTAATTAGTTATTATTATGGAAAAAATTCACAAAAACTTTTAAAACTTTGGCATAACACTTTCGAGCTAATTAATTAGTTAATAATACATAATTTGAAGGGAAACGTCGGAGCTTGAAATTTGATGCGATAATATGTTTACAAAAATGATTACATATATACTAAATTAAAATATTCAGCGAGGGGGAACTTTTAAAATCTTCTTCATATCTGCCTGGTTTGATTGAAAATATGCAACCTGCAAAACGCAGGTGTAACGAATTTGCCTAAATTAAATTCACTCAAATAAACAAATGATTACTTAAATTAATATTTGATCGGGATAAATTAACTTAAAAAATTGTCGTCAGAGTCTGCCAGGAATCGTAGTAAATAGTAGAATCATTGGTGATTTGAGTTAATTTGCAAATATTGATGAAAAAATTTAAATGATTTGTTAAAAAAAATCGTAAATGAAATTATATTATTTCATATCTTATATTTCAAGCAGAAATTTCCATACAAAAACTCAATATTTTTCCATAAAAAGTCTTCTTCAAAAACGCCTTTGCGAAAGTTCTAGATTTTAAAATAAAGGAAAAATGAAATCCGCAAACAAAAATTTCTGTTGAAGGGGAAAACCTCAAAGAATCACAGCTCGAGTGCAAATGGAAATTCCAGAGCAGCTTTTTCCTCCTTCGCCGTCTTTTCTGCCCACGCCGAAGCGGGGGCTGCATTCTTCTCGCGAGGGGCCATCGGGACACGTTTCGCGCATAAATTATTCAAATCGGCAACAACGGGACTCCGTCTACAGGTGCAGTTATTTCGCTAATTCTGATCGTTATCGCGCGCATTTGAACCCACTTAATTATTCCGGGGCAGGCGTGCACACGTGCCTGTTGCGACGAGAAATTAAATCACGATAGACCAATTTGTGCTCTCCAATTGGAATGTGATTAAATTTCGCCGATATTTTGACGAGCGCCTATACAAATTCGTGACGAATTTCACACGCCGGGATTAACGAGAGGCGCGATTTTGGAAGCATTTGTCAATCGGATTGGTCGCTCAGCACACTGCGTATACATGTACATATGTGTTTGAAATAGAGATTCAAAACGATCCGTTTTGCGCAAAGCTGAAATTCGTTTGGCACGCAAATGCGCTTGACGTGCCAATATTTGCGAGCGCTCTGTTGCGAAATGAATGGACACTTTTGAAATTAGGCATCGATTTGCAAAGTAAAACATTTACAATTAAACATAGTCGATTTTTGCGTGAAACTTTTGGGAAGTTATGCAGTAGGAGCTTTTTCTTCTGTGGGTCAAACAAGCTTGGCAAATATTGAAGGTTCTGTTTGCAGAAAAAGACAAACAAACTTATTATTAACGGGTTGCGAGCCAATATTTGCACTCGAGCTCCGAACTTCTCAACTTTTCAGATTATTTCACAAAGACTGATTTACATTCGGGCACTATAAGAGAAAATAAAATTTAACTAACTTGCTTCTTAATTTGATTTGAGTTATACATTATATATTTATTCACGATCAAATCCCTAACTGAATATGCTAAAATGGATGAAGATAAAACCTAGTATAGATTATGTTTAATTTTTAAGTCGACACTTTAATTATTTAACTATTTTATCTTCCTGAAGTTGTACACAATTGCGTTTAATTAATGAAATAAATAAATAAATTTATTCACGAAGAACAATTCTGTGAAATTTTAATTTATGGAGAAAACCCCTCAGAAAGTTAATTTTTTGTATCAAAATGTTTTTGCAAAAATTTGGAACTTCATCAAAATTTGTAGCGAATCACACAATAAAGGTAAACTTTTATGGAATATGATTTTCAGATTGCTTTTCTTTAAGTGTAATATAAATCAAATAAAACGGATAGAATTTCAAAGATTTAAAAAAAGAGTTTTCAAACTTAGGAAAAAACATCTTTTAAAAACCTTAACTTATTTAAATTCTTAATCGAGCATAGAACAATAAACATGAGAAATCCAATTATGAATTATTATTGCTTTCTATACTAACTAACTAGGTTCTTTTGATACTAATTGGAAACTCTTATCAAAGGCAATTCAAATTGTGATTTAAGAAATGAAATATCCTTTGGGAATCATATTTGAAGGAAAAAAATAATAATTAAAAAACCCATTATTTTCCTTATCTCAAACCGATCAATTTTGAGAAACTTTAAATAACGCTGAAAGTTTATTCCTAATTTAAAAAGTAATAAATCGCAAAAGCAATTTGCGAAGTGTAAATCGACTTTCAGAAACACTTCATCTCAACCGAGTTGCTCGATTTCGATTTAAACTTTCGACCGGCGACGCGCGTACATATTATATTCTCTCGGTGCAAAACGCAGGCGAACGAGATTGACATTCCTATCTAGGAAAACGGCGCGCATAGTTCATTAAAACTTCTTCTCTCTGGCGGTTGCGCGGCGAAAGAGCCACGGATGAATTCGCAGGAACCGCAGGCGAATTATTATTATCTCCGATGTGACTCGTCGAAGAGAAAAACTGACTCGAAATGAAAGGGTTGGAATTAAATTTCCACCTCCGAGGGGCGAACGAAGTCAATTTTGGCAAAACAAACACAGGAAGAGAGAAAGAAAATTGGTCGCACGTTTCGCGGGTTTGCAGCAAGGAAGGAAAAGAGAAGTCTGCTTACCTTTGGTGCGGTCTCGTTGTGTAATGAGTCTGCTCAGCCCCAGCGTAGTCGGGGGTTGGATGGGGCGCGTGCGCCCCTTCTTCGATTGCTCGCTGCTATCGCATATACGCGGCGCGCACCGACCGACAGAGGGTGGGAGAAGCGTCTTTGACACTCCAGGACCCTCTCTCCGTGGGGGGCTCGATCTGAAAAAAAATCAACCCTTATTGATATTTCTCAATGCTCGCCAATGTGCAATTCGATTTTATGTCTTGATTGACCCGTTTTGCATAATGTTATAAGCAAACTTGGGGTTAACTGATTTAAATTGAATTAGCACTGATCTGAATGGATTTAAATATAATTGTGGAGTCAATATTTTGTTATATTTTAAGGAAAAATCAAATCTTTATATAAGTTATAAGTTTTAGAATAGGCTTTAGAAAATAAAATTATCAAAAGCCATTATATATATATGTAATTTGTAATCATCAATAGTTAAATACAAAAAAATTTATTTCGGAACTAATTTTATGATGTTCAAGCGAAGCTAAAATATGAATATTAAATATTGTTATTATGGAGATATTTTAGACAATTTATCTAAAAATTTATAAAATAAATTTTGATATTTTTGTCTCATTGGCACCTAAAATATAAATATTTAAATGGTATATTAAATATTAATAATAACTTTTATTTAAATTGGAGATTTATTGAACTTTTAATAGCTCGAATAAAAGTTATCTTTTTATCTGTTTTTTTTTTTTTTTTTTATTAACTGTTGAATATTTTTAACAATTTCAATTAAAAAATAAATTAATTAGGATAAATTGAATGAGTCTCATCTAACTAAATTGAAAATGGTTTAAAATATTTCTGCAATTTTTCCTTAAAATTAAAACCAATTTTTTTATTGCTCAAAATTGTTCTTAACCAAAAATGAATAAAAAACTGGATAAAATTCAATAATCCAACCCGTGAAAATGTCTTTGCCATGTCGTAAAGTACGATGCACCCCTGAATTTATAATTATTTACGGTTTCACAGGAGCTTTTTATTGCGTTTTAAGGGCCTATAAAAAGTTTGTCGCGGTGGCGCATCCCACCGCGGGCCGACCGGCCTCCTTTCTTTATCCTCAATAAAGAATAAATGCATAAACACACACTTCGCCTCACGCATTATCCAGTATAAACTGGCATTGTGCGTTGCTTGTGCCGGCGGCGGTGCGTGCCGAAAGATGAGAGCGGCTCGGAAAATCGTTACTTTTTATGTATGCTCATTATTCATCTCTGGCCAGATTTTATCTCTGGGCCGATCCCGCGTGGACAGCTGCAGAAAGTCCTTTTTCCACCGTATTTTTGCAGGTCGGAAAATTAAATCCATAAATTGATTGGCACTTATAACTGGTGGTCGCGGACTCGTCGTTTATCAGAAGAAAGAAAAATAGGCGAAAGGGATTTTGTCGGGCTTAGCAGGGCTGAAAATTTTGGCATGGGCAAAGCCACGAAGTGGCAATTGTGCTGGCGCCAAAACTCTTTTAAAGGGATTAGTGCGAGCAGGAAAATGAGCAAAGTTGTGTCATTAGCGCTTTTCCAGCTTTGGTTGCAAGATTGCACTTGTTTTTTCGTCTGAACGATTACCTCAGCGGTGCTCCGGTTAATAACAACAAGATTATCCCAAAATAAAAATACGAAATTGTACGTACAAAAGTTATAATCCAATGACGGCTTTATCTGATAAAAGTAGAAACACGTTTTTTAAAGGACAAAAATGTTATGTATAACTTCAGTGCTAATTTTCTTTCAATTGAAAATTGCTTGGGGAATATGAGAATTTCATTAATTTATTAAAATATTATTTTGTTTAATACTCATTTTGTTCGCTTTAAATTTGAATAATAGAATTTAAAAGAAAAAAAAAACTTTATGTATTCTGTACACAATTAAGTTTTGCTTACTCCATGATATAATTTTTAAATCATTTTACTATCGGATGGTTTTAAAATTAAAACATTCTTTAAGCCCTTCAAATATTGAATAATAATCAGATGCTCATAATTTTGGCTGTTGATGAGTAGAAACCAACTTACAATTAGCAATGAATTTGTCTAAAAGTAATTATTGAATGACAAATTTTCATGAATATTATGAAAAAGTGTTAGTCAGTATTTTCGGGCCAAGAGAATAAATGTTTTTTTTTGCGTAGATCAGACATATTCCAGTAAAATGCAAACTAAATAAAAATGAAAAATTCTAATTACATTTATCTGCATATTATTTAATTTTTTTAATGAAAAATTGAGCTGTTCTCCATTGTTTATTTTAAATAATACGCACTTAATGAGAGGAAAATAAAATTGGCATAAGAAGTATAACTTGAAAAATTAAACAGAAATGTAAGAAGCACAAAAATTTCTAATCAGATTCACATCTAATCTTATGGGTTTTATTTTACAAACAAAAACAACTTTCTTTACCGCGGTTTATCGTGATTCGACAATTGTGTTCCACTTTATTTCATGAAATTTATCAAATTTATTTCGTTTCAATTGAAAAGAACCTTCTCTTTAATCAAATTTTCAGACCTTAACTTTCTATATTTGAATTAAAATAATCCCAAAGGCAGATTTTTAAATGCGATTTATAAAAATGTTTACGAAAAATTAAAAATATGCATTTCGAGGCAAATTCCCTTTTCTCTCTAAAATTATTTTTTATTTTTTGCAAGAGGAAAAAGCGCGGGCTTGTATAATCAGATTTCCCAACGCAGCGGTGGCGTATTCTTCTCGGTGTTTGTTTGCTTAGGCGATAATGCACGCAGTTGACGGTTATGTATGAATGCTTACCCGAAAAGCAATTTATGAATTCCATAATGCAAAGCAAATAAAAAGGGTGCCTTCGTGGCGAAACGGGAGAGAAGGTATAGGAACTTTCAAAAACGCTTTCGTCAGCCGGAAAAGGGGCAGGTTTGTTTTGAAAAGAAGAGACGAGAGATAGCGAGATATTTGAGTTTTCCAAAGAATTTCCGCCGAGTAGGGAGGAAAGAGGCTCGGAGATGGCGCAGATTATGCGATTCCGGCCAGAGCTAGACAGCCGTGTTCGACTTTTATACTTTGATCTTGACACGGTCGCCAGAACTCGCTGACAAAGTTTGTTAATCAACGGAAGGGTCGGGGACAAATTAGAAAGAGCGGCCCGTCTGCCTCTGTCGTATTTCAGCAGAGACCATGATAATCCTCAAAATTAAAAGCAGGAACCGGGAAAAGCAGAGTAAAAATAAGAATGAATAATAAAAATGCACTAGATTGAGAAGATAAATTGAATATTATTAAATTGGTAATAAAATCCTATTTTTCAATATTAAAACTTGAATTAAAATTACTTTAAATTAATTTCGCACGCGTCTATTTGAAAACACTTTTCATGTTTTTCATAATACTTTGAGCAAAGTAAATTTAAAAATTAACTTTAAAATATGATCAGAAATTCTTGAAATATATTTTATCATGATGAACCCCTTATGGAAAAAAACTGAGTATCAAAACGTCATACAATTAATTAAATTAACATTTTATATCACTTTAAATTTTAACTAATTTTTTTTATATTGCTTTAGGCTGAAGTGCATATTTTTTTTGTATGACTTTTCATTTGTGACGAATTTCTCTAAAAAAATATTTGAATATAGATTTTTAATAATTTTAAAATTTAAAAAAAAAATATATATTTTAATTAAAAAATTCATTTTAATCCACATTTTTTTGGAGAATTATTATAACGATTATTTTTTTGGTTTTATACCTTTGTCGCAATTATTTAATTTAACGTTCGTGGAAATTGCAATTTTGGTTCCGGGATTGTCCGCGGCGAAGCGCTCTTGCATGACAAAAAGCTGCCAGCACTCGCTGGCGAAATTCAATTCTGCCACGAAAGGGCGGCTGTCGTCTTGTTTTTAATGGGGCCTAGCCGGCCTAGGCGCAAAGGGTTGCAAAATAATGAGTTTCCAAAGAGAGGCGTGAGAACTGCTCCTTTCACTCTCTTTGGCAACTCTCACACCTCTTCTTTTACACACGTACTTTTTCAGCTTTCTGATATTGAGGCCGCGTGTAAATCATTCACGGTCGAGGGCACTCGGGCGCTTCCTTACTTCATGCGATTTTCCCACTTGGCGTCTCACTCAATTTAATGTGAAAAATTTTCAAAAAGGAAAAAACAACCTGCTTGAATAGCGGTAAAAAAAGAAAGCAGGGATATTGCAATTTTGGTAATTTCTAATTAATTTTTTATTCGCTCCTCGGAAAATTTGGATTTACGTGAATCAAACATGTGCGTAAATCTGGCAGATTCACTTATTAAATTTTGAGTAAGGACTATAAAAATGGAACTTCGAACTTTTAAACATCCACGCACGTATTCAGAATTTCATGGAAAAACGCAGCGCATTGACTTCATTTTAGTGGACTTTCGACGGTGGATACGAATCATGTGCTGCAGTCTAAACAAACTAAAACTGCTTCCTGTGTCGATTTTTCGTTTCTAAATTTTTTCGAACGCAGTATTGTAGAGAGCTCTCTATAATAAAATGTTAGCTATTCTACTTTTGTTTGCAGTGCAGGTATATCAGCAATTACGATTTCAAATTAAGAAGCAGCATTTTTCTTTTATAAATCTGTTAAAAATTTATTCAAAATAATTATTTTCAGATCCAAATTTTACTGAGCACTTATTGTAAACCCTCAGAGCAGCTTTTGAAATTTGGGCGGGGTAAAAATAATTTTAAATTCCAATGAGGTGTAAAAACAAATTATTTTGATAAAGCTAAAGATTTTTTCTGGAGATCTGTTTCAAACGAGTTCCAGTGTCTAGCTCAGTGCAAGTCCAAATTTCAATTGGCCAATCAACTACCAAAGCCGGCGATTCTGGAGAGAATTTTTAGACCAACAAGGGATCAAATTAACTGCTTTGCAGTAGTAAAAGTAATGAATGTTAATTAATAAATTATACAATTAAAATTTTTCAGGAACGCAAAATTCAACCTGCTTGTCAAATGAGAAGTAAATTATTTTAAACGAAAATGTTAAGGTTGAATTTTAATATTTCAGTTGGTGACGTTGAACAAGTGGAGGACCTTCCGTTGTTAGTTTTCGGGCCTGATGCTACAGTAAAAATATTTTATATTAAATTATTAGTATTTTAATGTAATAAATACAGCAATCTCGATTTTCTGCTGAGAAAATTTGCGCTCAACAAGGCATGATCATGGGGTTACCAAGTGAGAAACTTGCGAAATTTATTGACGCTGTTACAACAAGTGAGGCCTAGCAATGGGACGTAAAAGGTGTGAAATATTTATTTTTTAATATGCAGAACAGGAATTATTCTGGATGCAAGACCTGGCATTTGTTAACAGAACTCAATCAAAGCTTAAAAAACTGGAATGTAGAGCAGCATATTTGTAAATTTTGTAATATAAAAGAGCAAATATTCACGAAAATTTTGACCAGGACAAAGAGAGAAATGAAAAACGTTACTATGGATTGTAAAGCAAAGCTGCGTTTTGTTTGCTCGTTGCCGGAAATGTGTCACGCTGACGTTTGCAAAAGTACCTGTACTGAAGAAGATTATAATTCGTTTTGCAATTCGTCGCTAACTAGTGTAATTTGTAAAATAAATTTTCAATAACAAATTTGTAAATAAAACTTTCAAATTTACAGGAAGACTGTGACCCCATTTGCAAGCCAGTATCTTGCGGAGAAGAGGTTGTTTTTTTTCATAATCAGGTTAGAGGTTATTAAAATTTTAATGCCCAGCCAGTAGAAAAATTTGGAACAAGTGAGGAAAATTAAATAATTTAATAAATTCTGATTATATTTATTAATAAAAAAAATTACTAGAGGTGGAATTAATTGAGAAATGTGACAAAATTCTTCATATTTCCAAAGAGACTGTGAGAATTTAAAAAAACAAATTTATAAATTTTATGTTCTAAAGCTGAGGATTTCAGTACACTTTTAAGGGTGCGCAAAGTTATTGCTGCATAAGACACATGAATCTATTGCGGGTCGAAGTCATGGAGAAGAACACTTGCGTGGCCCAGATTTTGTCAAGCAAAAATTTTTCACGAAACGGTTTCTCGGACCGGTTCTGGACCGCGGGGATAGCGGAAAATTGTGATGAAAAATACGCTTGGTGCGGTGATGGAGAAATTGAGGAAGTTTCTTTTGAAGAGCATGGCTGGAAAAGACCAGAGTCGTCTGCAGAAAAAGGCTGCATGACGGTTTTTCTGGAAAAAAATTCAACCCGTCTTTCTGTGGGTTTTGAAGATTGCAAATCAAAAACCACCAGGTTGCGAGCCATTTGTGAGGTAGTGAAGTAAATTTATTTTTGCCGATTTTGATTTGTTTTGGAACGTTTGAAAATTGATAGAGAATTACTCCTGAAAAATGCACCGATTCCAAGTGCTTTGAAATGAAATGCAATGAGCAGGACGTAATATTTATTTTGTTTATTTTGCAAAAATTTTCGATTTTCAAACAATTTTTAGATGCAACTATTCAAATTCGACGTAAGCAAGCTTCCGAATGTTAAGATTTGGAAGTTGTATGAAAACAGAGAGGTGCGAGTTGACACGGCTCGGGTACATTTCCGTTTTTTAAATATAAAATGGTTGTTAAATTAGAAGTGATCGATTTCCAGTACAATTTTTATAAGACATCAAAATTTTCTTGCGGTTCACTCTTCTATCTCATCACAATGGAAACGGAGGAAAAATACAATTTTTACCTGAAGATTTTTACAAGTAAACCTCATCAAAGAATTTCGGTAGCAAAAAATTATTAACTTTCATTTGCTAGGTCCAAAAAAGCTTCCAAGCGGCCGCTATTGGCTCGGAGCGTCTTCCATCGGTTGCCCATCCAAAATAAAATGGTGCAATGGAAAGGACAACCCTTTGGTTGGTTTCCCTGATTACTTGCCATGGAAAGAGGGCGAACCTTCGCAGGATCCTTTGAAGAATTGCTTAGCAGTGGAATTTTCACTTACACCGCCACAGATGGTTTTGGTCAAAGTCGATTGCAGCTCGACTCTGGGTAATTTAGCTGATAATTGCACTACTGCAATTTGCGATGATTGGGAGTTTTGAGGATTAGTTTAATTGGCTTTTTACTGAATTCAGCAAACATTAAGTTTTAGAGTTTGAATTGGGTTTTGAAGCCTTCAACTGTGATTTAATTGATAATTATTTGTTGAGAAACATATAAAATAAAGACCAGATTTTTATAGTTCAAATTTAAATAATTCAAGATCAGTGCATTAAAAAAAATGATTAAAATTTTTATAATGAAAGGCAAATTTTATATAAAAAAAAATAAAAAAAAAATGAAAAAAAAAACATCTGCGGGCTGTCTAAAAATGTTTATTTTCAATATATTATATATTATTATATTAAAATAAAACATTTGGATTTTTTTTTTAATAAATTACAAATTCTTTAATTCAAGACTGTATTTAGATGGTGTTAAAACCTTAGTGCAAGACTCATTAGGATTGGAACGGTAATTCAGATCGCTTTTTTTCACAATTTTTTGGTTGAAAAAGTTTCATATCATTCGGGGAAATAAAGCAGAAAAAGGAGGATTCAAGACAATTTTTTTTTTATCAGAGAGCTTTTCCATTACGAATTCGTTCATAATTTAAAAAAAAAATCACAGTAAATGCAAATTAATACACACATCCGGTTGGAAATATGGTGAAATAGAAATAAAACCAGCAGCCGAAACGTGCTTGCTGAAATTTTAGCATTTTAGCATTGTTGGTTGCTACGCCATACTACATTTATTAGTATTAGAATAAAATATATTTTTAAACTTGTAGTAAAATAAGATTATAATTAAACTACTATCGTTTTCATGATAGTTAACAAGAATTCAGAAATGATTGGAATCAAAATTTCGAAAAGCACTTACGGGACAGGAAAATTAACTTTTCGGGGAAACTTCAGCCGTAGCACTAGAAACGATTCAGTATTGTTCATTACTTCCAATTTCCCACCAAATTAACGTGGGCAGTCCACCCTGGCGCGCCACGGGCCCCAAAATAATAAACACGAGCTGCGGAGTCTGCGCCAACTCTGCAACCGGCGTTGAGCTGCCGTGCAGCGGGCTGCATACAAGCAGTGGCTCTGAAGAGGCCCAGCCAGCATGCGAGCAGCCCTGCTGGCGATTCTCTCGGCCCTGGGGCTGCTGGCCCCGGGCCCCGTGTCCGCCGACAAGATTCCCATAGGTCAGTTTTACCAGTTCATATTCTCTTTTGGAAAACGGGTCGAATATTAACAAATTACATCGGGGGTGAAAAACTATTGTCGAGTGTACATTTTGTGTTGTGCCACACCTTCGGACGGGTTTGTTGTGTCGAGGGAAATAACAGGCGTGATGAACTTGTCAAGTTATGATTATTAGACTCGGCAGGTTCGCGGAAATGCGTGGATCGAGTTGCACGCCATCCGCACATTGTCGCTGTTTTAGGGCGGAGGAGCACGCAAGACTCAATGTCATTCTCCGTAAAAAGAAATATTTTGTAAAACTAAAAACAAAAAATTCGTAGGAAAGGATTGTGAATCACTGAAATTTAGACGGGAGGGCTATAAATAAGTAAAAATCTTTAAATCAGTATAATTATTTTTTTAATAGTTTTTTACTTTTTATTTTTTTAATGTAATAAATTTATTTATTTTGCTAAAAATCTTACCGGTTTTAATTTCTACTCTAAGCGTTTAAAGTCTCTTTTAAACCTCAATAAACCGATATGAATTATTGAAAATTCCACAACTCTGACAGAGCAAAGAAAAAAAACTTATGAATATCAAGTCTTCAGCTCTCCTCTTGAATGCAACTCACTATCCAATTTGATACATATTTTTCCCTGCGATAATGGGCCACTCAGTCGATTCGCAGAATATCTTTATTCAATGTTACAAAGAAATATTCAATGCAAATAATTTGCAAAGGAATAATTACTTGAGCAAAATTGCGTTCTCGGAAAAGTCAGAGAGAAGATTGAAAGAGCCGGCGCGGTATCTATAGAAACAGACACAGCATCTTGTTCGGCACAAAGTCGGCCGGTATTGATCTGACGGGAGAAAAGGCTCTCACTCGCCCGCCCGTATTGATCCTCGCAGCATCCGAGCAGGCGCCTCTCGCGCCTCCCGCTGGAGGATACGTGTTTATGATGCTCGGCCGTTCCACTGGATTATTTTGCTTTCACACCCCCCAAATGCAATTATCTTTTGAACGTGAATAAAAGCTTTTTGCTCCTCCTGTACACCGCCTACGATGCAGATCAATCCGAAATTGCCAGGCTGAGTGGAAAGCAAAGATAAAACTTGTCAAGCGAGAATATTTATGTGAATGATATACAATATAATCAAACGAGAAGTCAAGTTTCCATTTAATTTTTCTTAAACTGGCTTGATAAAAACAGTTTTTGTTAGTTAAGAGTTAGTTAGAGTAGATTCAACTTCCTGTATTAATGCGGTAAAATGTTTAATTTTGTCGTGTCATAATTTAAAAAAAATTTCGTCGTCATCAAATAAATTTACAATAGGGCATTACTGTGTGGCCAGAGGCCATCGCCCATTGGAACCTCCAAAATCATGAGATTCATCAAGTAATTTTGACACCTAACGATCTGAATAGTCTAAAATAAAAAAAAAATCATTATTCAAACAAAGTTATAATTTTTCCAAGATAAAGGAAAGGTAAAAAAGAGAAAGAGACAAAGTTTGTGGACATTTAATAGGTGTGTAACTTCAAGAATTGTTATCAACATAGTCATTAAAAAAATTGCTTGGTTTTTCAAGAAAGAAACCTATAATTAAAGACAATCTCTTCCCCTCTGTTCACATGTGTCAGGGACCTGGGCTGAAAACCAGATTGAAACTGGCAAATTAAAGAAAACAACAATAATTTATTAAACCTTCTTTTTTTGTATTTTATGTAGTTACAATTACTTGTTGTAATATCATTGAACCGCTCATCTTGATTTGAATCATTTTATTGTTTTGATTAATATTTTATGATAAATCTTTGCGGTCATAAATATATTTCAATAGAAGAGTTAAAAAATAATTTACTATTAAGAGTATTACAACAAAATTTATTCAAGCCACAGAGTTTTTAGTGGTGATTTAGTTGCAATACTTGCAATTTAATTCATAATTATGTAACAATCGGTAAAAAAGAACTCAAAATAAAAAAATTCTTGAATTATTGGTGTTTATGTCAATGCAATAAACAGATTTTTAGCTGAATAAAAAGCATAATGGTGTTTATATTATTAATGGAAAAACGAGTTGTAAGGCAGAAAGCCAAAATTTATAATTTTATTATTATTTTCTTTTCGTCTTTGTGTTAAAAAATTATTTCATTTTGTATTTGGCCTGCCCAAACTTTGAAGCAAACTAAAAACTTTGAAAAAGAAGCAAACTTTCCACTTCTGTTCAGCATTTGTACGCTGTATTGATTCTGGCAATATCAGTGGTGCTCATTTCCAAAACTTCACCAATTAAGTCCTGATCTATGCCAGGGTCTACACCAGGCTGGAAAATAAGAATAAGAATCTGAACACCAAAACTTTCCTCACACTCACCAAGACTTCCATCGTGTCGTTACTATTTATTGAAAAGCCCCAAAGTGGGTATTGCATAACGCTGGAGAAATCGTAGGGGTACTTTGGATACATGGCAAGTCGGGAAGTTTTGAAGAAATTTCCCTCCGTACCGGCTAGAATATTTTTCCACACAATCCTCACGTATAGATCCCTGTCGAATCGGATCTGCTCATGACCAAATCCCAGCACATGCATGAATTCGTGAATTGGAACGGCTTTTCCCTATTTAGTACAAAAATTACAAGGGAATTAATTATAATTCTAAAAATCCTTGCCAAGTAAAAACAGCCAGCGCCCAAGTTCAAAGTTGTTTCGTTATAACCTTTGTAGTAGCCCCCGGTAGCGAAACACCCGTCATAAGTGTTGGTCAACGTCAGATATTGCGTTTCTGTGGTTCTCTCGACAATGTTCACGCACGTCAACGTCCGAATGTCCTCAAAACAAGCTTCAATCTTTTCCAACTCATCTGCAGCTGTGAGAGATCATTTAAAATTAGTAGTTGATTTATTTAAATTTGCATTTATTTACTAAAAGTAGCGTCATCAGCAATCACGTAAGGAACGGTATTGTCAGGCCAACGATATTCCTCCGAAACCCAGATGTACTGAGATTCGATGTTCAAAAAACCGGCAGGCAACTTGGAAACCAAGCTTTCCAAGTAAGCTTATTTTTTTTCAATTAATATTATTTTTTGCTACTTTTAAATTTGTAAAAAAAAATTTGTAGAAATATTTTTCAAACCTATGTCTCCCTTCCCTCTCGAAGTTGCCGCCGAGTGGGCACTCTGCAGTAGAATTGCAGTTACGAACAGGAACGTCAGCATTGCTCAGAGTTTCCAGTTAATTTAAAAAAGTTGAAGCGACCGACGTAAATTGCATACATTTAATTTTATTCTTATCTCTGCGTTTCCAGACCTTCAGCAGATAAAAAGTAAACAAGTACCCCTGCCTCTCTTGGCAACGAAAAAGTTTCACAAAATTTTACTTTCACACGTGCCGCATCACAAGCAGAGAAATGTCCATTCTCCCTTTATGTCTCGGTCTCCTTTTGGTATAATTTTTTCATTCTTTTGAAATTCAATACATAATTCATTCAAAATAACAGGTCTCATTTGGACAATGCGTCCAAGTGGAATTTTACAACCAAGGTGACTTTCTTATTTTTATATCATTTTTTTTAACTGATTATTTGATACATTTCAGCCGATTTCATCAACACTGATGAAATGGGCAGGGCCGTTACAATTAATGACACCAAGTGTGCATCGGAAAATTTTGCAGTAAATAAGTTTTCCCAATTTTACTTCAAATATTAATTATCGATTAAAAGTCGAACGTGGCAAAATGCTGCAACACTCCGATGCCACCTCTGCTGAGCAAGACGCTCATTTCTAGCACTTGCACAAAATCCTTTGGCTCGGCAGGAGTTACTTGGCTGAACTCGTACAAGATCAACTCGCTTCAAGCGAAAACCGTCCACCTTGTGCCCCTGCCCCTAAGCAAAGCAGCCCGTAATTTCTGAATATTTCACTTAATTTTAACCAACTAAAATTTGATAATTATGCAGAGGCGGCAATCTGCAAGCCGGCGGTAAATTTTTTATATAAAAACTTTAGTTTTCATTTAAAATATATTTTTAAATTTTGTAGCAACTTGCCGAGTGCGTTTTTAAGGCAAATTCTTGGATGGTATAATAATATAATTTTATATATATTTTTTTTTATATAATTTTGTTTGAAAATAAAAACTTTTTAAAATTCAGGATGCAAATGGAAATCTTGACATCGTACGTTTCAAAAAGGATGTTTCGGCAGATAAAAATTCTGCTTGGGTCACAACCTTGGAAGGCATTCTAGACCCAATCAGCAGTGGTGCCGTTTTTAATGCTTATCCCATCACAGATAGTAAAAAACATGATACAAATTTGAAATTCTTGATAATCAAAACCTTCTTTATATTAAAAACCAGTTATCCAAGATGGTTACGAGACGATTAATTGCACAGTAAAAAATTCCGTCGTGAAAGTAAATGGTGTGCCTTTGATGTTGCTGCAGCTGCTTCAGTCAGAAATTTTATGGGTAATCTATATAAAATAGAAATAAGGTTGCTTTAAAAATTCGAAAAAATTTCCTCCAAAGATGTGCCCTGAACAGAAAACATTCACCAATGGTAATTTTATTACTGATTTGACAAGTATTAAATTAATATTTGTATTTATAGCAAATAAGTGCATGACGACGTTGAGGAAGTTCCAATTCTGCGACGGCAGACTTTTTGACTCAACTGGTCGGGGCGTGTACTTTTTCTCAACCGTCTAATTCAGTTTAAAATTGGTTTTATTTGAAGAAATAAAATATTTCAAGACCATGAATGAATTGCTGATACTTATTGCTTCTAATAAATTTCTTCACTTGTTGACAAAATAAAAATAACTGGCAGAACAATACGATATTATGAATATGATTTTAATAGCTTCATGACAAATTATGCATACAATTTACTAAAAATTAAAAAGTTTTAAATCAGAATGAACTTAAATTCGCTCTATTCAATTAAAGCTGATAAATCTTTCCACCACTTTTAAAATTTTAGATATCTATTAGATTTAAAGTACAAAACAAACTCACAGGCTATTATTATTCTTTTAATACTCTTTTTAATCACACTCCGTGGAAAAAGTAATACAAATCCTTTTACTTCTTGTTGAAATATTGTAAAAATCAATTGCATTTATAAGCTGAATTAATTCTGGAAACGTCAGAAGCGCTCAGATGTGGAAGGTAGCCTATTTGGCTATTATTTGTAAGTCCCGTGTCCACTCCGCTCTGAGGAATATTTTAAATTGAAGTCAAAATTTTAAAGTACTCGAAAAAAACGAACCAAAATTTCTATTGACTTCTTTCCACTTGCGGTCAAAGTGTAGTGCATTATACTTTTGAAATCATACGGCAAGTTTGAGTATGAGGCGAGTCGTGACCGCTTCGTAAATTGAGGCCACCCACTCTGGGTGATGTTTTGCCAAATAATGCGTATGTAGACATCTCTGTCGTATCTTTTATGTTCATGACTAAGTCCCAATACGTGGCCCATCTCATGAATTGCTGGTCGGGTACCCTGTAGTATTTATGAATTAAGTAAAAATAAATGAAGCATAATATTGTTCCCATTAAAAATATTTTACCAGATCAAAGCAGAAGCTATTTGACTCTAAGTTCAAGTAATAATATGGCCACGTTTCACCTACGTAGCCAAGGTTATATACAAAACATCCGGAATATTTATTGCCGACGCTGACGAAAGCTACTTCGGTTGTTCGTTGGACAAATTTGACACAAGTCTTTGCGTTGATTTCTTGAAAAGATGCCATTATGATTGCTTTCTCAGACGCACCTGGCATTTAAAATTAATCAACTTTGTTTACACTGACGAAAATAAATACTAAAATTAGAGGCTGAAGGAAGGTAATCCCAGGGGATGGTTTTGTTTGGCCAGCGGTATCGCGCGTCAACCTCCATAAGTTGTCCTTCGGGAAAGTTGTTACCCACGAGCTGGAAAATTTTACTTTCCATTGTGGCTGAGAAAGATTGAAATAAGCTGAAGGTCTGTCTGTGTATAGTTATTAATAAAAATACCCAGATCTTCAATCAGGGCTGGAGCTGTGGCTGAAAAAATTATGGCCAGGAGACCGGTTGCTACCAAGAAGTTGAACATGATCGCGTGTTGACTGACAGAGAAGAATAAAAACAAAAACGTCGGCTTTTATTCTATTTTATATTTTCATTATCAAATGACGTAATTTTCATGCGAGCATCGCAGTTGCCACCGTGGCAGGCACGTGTGAGTAATTTATTTATTTAAATTATATTCTTCTGACTTATTTTAATGGATAAGTAAATATTTTTGTAATCATAACCAATTAAAAATGCAAATTACTTAAATGATCATTTTATTTTTTTTAATTTTTTAAAATTGATAACATTAAGGAAAATCAAGAAGAAAATTTTGACAAGAAGCTTCTTCCAGACCTTTCATTTAATTATTATTATCGGATCGCTTCAGAGATCGTGGATTAATTTTTTTTATTAGTGTTTTAAAATTTACCGTTTAAAACACAAATTCGACAATATTAATTCACTCGTCACAAATGGGATAAAGATTGTTGTAAACGTTAAAATAACGTACTACAATATGGTAATGACATGCCAAAGCAAATTTGGACCCCCAAAATAGCGCGAGCCATTAATTTTGCCACCGAACACCACAAATATGCTTAAATCTTTATTAAAAAAAGGAAATAAATGCTTTATTCACACCTAGAGAACAATTTCCATTGGTAACGCAAGTAGAGATGTAAACGGCAGCAAAAAAGAGAAGGCGTCAAAGTTCGTGGACATCTAATAAATGTGTAACTGCCCCATTTATTTTCGCTGACAGCGCTTTCAAGAATTGTTATCAACATAGTCATTTAAAAAATTACTTGGTCTACTTGGCTTTCGAAGAAAGTTAACTTATAATGTTTCAAACATTTTCCTCCCGGTCATATGACACGTGCGAGGGACCTAGACTAACCTAAATTAAAACTGCAAAATTAAAGGAAACAACCAAAATTTAAACTTTCTTATTTATTATTTTACAATATAATATGTTATAATATCATTGAACCACTCATCTTAATTTGGATTATGTTTTAATTAATAATTCAATATTTAACGGTTTATAACTTTGAAGTCCTAAATATATTTCAATGTTAACTATAATGGTGGATTAAAAAATATTACTGCACTCAATAATTATCTAATCACAGTACAATCACTTACCAGTAGAATAAAAACAATAAAAATATTAATAAAATTAATGAATGATTAAAAAACGATTACCAAATCAGAAAGCAAAAATTTTTTGTTTTATTATCATTAATTTTTCAATTATTACATGTTCAAAATTTGTATATTTTGGAATTTAGACTGTTCAAAGGCGACAATAAAAAAGGAGAAAACGTTCAAAAATTTCTCAGCATTTGTACGCTGAATTGATTCTCGCGATATCAGTGGCGCTCATTTTCAAAGATCCACCAATTAATTTCTGGTCTATGCCAGGGTCAACGCCAGGCTGGAAGATTTGACAAAATTTTGAGTTAAAACGCTTAAATTATCATTGAACTCACCAAGACTTCCATTGTGTTGTTACTATTGATCGAAAAGCCCCAAAGTGGGTACTGCATAACACTGGCAAAATCGTAGATGAATTTGGGATACATGGAAAGTCGCGATTTTTTGAAAAAATTGCCCTCTGTCCCCGCCAGAATATTTTTCCACACAATCTGCACGTACAAATCCCTGTCGTATCGAATCTGCTCGTGACCAAATCCAAGCACGTGCATGAATTCGTGAATCGGAACTGCTTTATCCTATTTAGTTTGAAAATAATTAGCCAATTAATAATTCAAAAAATTCTTGCCAAGTAAAAACAGCCAGAGGCCAGGTTCAAAATAGAATCGGTAGAACCTTTGCTGTAGCCTCCAGATGCAAAGCACCCATCGTAAGTATTGGTCACCGTCAGGTATTCCGTTTCGGTGGTTCTCTCAATAATTTTCACGCACGTCAAAGTTTGAATGTCATCAAAACCAGCATTAATCTTTGATAACTCATCTGCAGCTGTGAGAGATTATTTCAAACTAGCAGTTTATATATTTAAATTAGTTATTCTTTTACTAAAATTAGCGTCTGCAGCAATAACATAAGGAACGGTCTTGTCAGGCCATCGATATTCTTGAGAAACGAAGACGTACTGAGGGTTGATGTTCACAAAACCGGCAGGCAACTTGTCAACCAAGCTTTCCAAGTGAGCTTTGAATTCAGTTTTATCAGTTATTATTTTTCTGGTTTGTACATTTTTTTTTTAATTTCAAAAATTTATTTACATAAAATAAACTCAATTAATTAATAACTGAACTGCCTTTACGTGGAACTATGTTCCGAGACGCGAGACATTTGAGGCAAACCGGTATAAAAAAGTAACGTCTCTGAACATAACTCCACGTAAAGGCGATTAGTCCAGTTACTAATTAATTATTTCTCGTTTGGAGTGGTCGCTCTGGGTTTTAAATTCATGCATTATGTGTATTTGCTTGAAAACACTGAAAGGAGATTTTTCAAACCTATGTCTCCCTTCCCTCTCGGAGTTGCCGCCGAGTGGGCACTCTGCAGTAGAATTGCAGTTACGAACAGGAACGTCAGCATTGCTCAGAGTTTCCAGTTAAATTAAAAAGTTGAAACGACCGATGTAAATTGCATTCATTTAATTGTATTCTTATCTCTGCATTTCCAGACCTTCAGCAGATAAAAAGTAAACAAGTACCCCTGCCTCTCTTGGCAACGAAAAAGTTTCACAAAATTTTACTTTCACACGTGCCGCATCAGAAGCAGAGAAATGTCCATTCTCCCTTTAAGTCTCGGTCTCCTTTTGGTAAAATTTTTTCATTCTTTTGAAATTCAATACATAATTCATTCAAAATAACAGGTCTCATTTGGACAATGCGTCCAAGTGGAACTTTACAACCAAGGTGACTTTCTTATTTTTATATCATTTTTTATAACTGATTATTTGATACATTTCAGCCGATTTCATCAACACTGATGAAATGGGCAGGGCCGTTACAATTAACGACACCAAGTGTGCATCGGAAAATTTTGCAGTAAATAAGTTTTCCCAATTTTACTTCAAATTTTAATTATCGATTAAAAGTCGAACGTGGCAAAATGCTGCAACACTCCGATGCCACCTCTGCTGAGCAAGACGCTCATTTCTAGCACTTGCACAAAATCCTTTGGCTCGGCAGGAGTTACTTGGCTGAACTCGTACAAGATCAACTCGCTTCAAGCGAAAACCGTCCACCTTGTGCCCCTGCCCCTAAGCAAAGCAGCCCGTAAAATCTTAATATTTCACTTAATTTTAACCAACTAAAATTTGATCAATTATGCAGAGGCGGCAATCTGCAAGCCGGCGGTAAATTTTTTATATAAAAACTTTAGTTTTCATTAAAAATATATTTTTAAATTTTGTAGCAACTTGCCGAGTGCGTTTTTAAGGCAAATTCTTGGATGGTATAATAATATAATTATATCTTTTTTTTTCATAATATAAATTTGTTTGAAAATAAAATATTTATAAAAAAATCAGGATGCAAATGGAAATCTTGACATCGCACGTTTTAAAAAGGATGTTTCGGCTGATAAAAATTCTGCCTGGGCCACAACCTTGGAAGGCATTCTAGACCCAATCAGCAGTGGTGCCGTTTTTAATGCTTATCCCGTCACAGATAGTAAAAAACATGATACAAATTTGAAATTCTTGATAATCAAAACCTTCTTTATATTAAAAACCAGTTATCCAAGATGGTTACGAGACGATTAATTGCACAGTAAAAAATTCCGTCGTGAAAGTAAATGGTGTGCCTTTGATGTTGCTGCAGCTGCTTCAGTCAGAAATTTTATGGGTAATCTATATAAAATAGAAATAAGGTTGCTTTAAAAATTCGAAAAAATTTCCTCCAAAGATGTGCCCTGAACAGAAAACATTCACCAATGGTAATTTTATTACTGATTTGACAAGTATTAAATTAATATTTGTATTTATAGCAAATAAGTGCATGACGACGTTGAGGAAGTTCCAATTCTGCGACGGCAGACTTTTTGACTCAACTGGTCGGGGCGTGTACTTTTTCTCAACCGTCTAATTCAGTTTAAAATTGGTTTTATTTGAAGAAATAAAATATTTCAAGACCATGAATGAATTGCTGATACTTATTGCTTCTAATAAATTTCTTCACTTGTTGACAAAATAAAAATAACTGGCAGAACAATACGATATTATGAATATGATTTTAATAGCTTCATGACAAATTATGCATACAATTTACTAAAAATTAAAAAGTTTTAAATCAGAATGAACTTAAATTCGCTCTATTCAATTAAAGCTGATAAATCTTTCCACCACTTTTAAAATTTTAGATATCTATTAGATTTAAAGTACAAAACAAACTCACAGGCTATTATTATTCTTTTAATACTCTTTTTAATCACACTCCGTGGAAAAAGTAATACAAATCCTTTTACTTCTTGTTGAAATATTGTAAAAATCAATTGCATTTATAAGCTGAATTAATTCTGGAAACGTCAGAAGCGCTCAGATGTGGAAGGTAGCCTATTTGGCTATTATTTGTAAGTCCCGTGTCCACTCCGCTCTGAGGAATATTTTAAATTGAAGTCAAAATTTTAAAGTACTCGAAAAAAACGAACCAAAATTTCTATGGACTTCTTTCCACTTGCGGTCAAAGTGTAGTGCATTATACTTTTGAAATCATACGGCAAATTGGAGTATGCGGCGAGTCGTGACCGCTTTGTAAATTGAGGCCATCCATCCTTGCTGATGTTTTGCCAAATAATACGTATGTAGCAATCCCTATCATATCTTACGTGCTCATGATCAAGCCCAAGTATGTGTCCCATTTCATGAATTGCTGGTCTGGTACCCTAGAATGATTATAAAAAAGGTTGAGCCTTCTTCAAATTGCAATATAATGAGATTTCATTTAAAAATATCTAACCAAATCGAAGCAGAAGCTATTTGATTCCAAGTTCAGGTAATAATATGGCCACGTTTCATCTACGTAGCCAAGGTTATATACAAAACATCCAGAATAATTATTTCCGACATTGACGTAAGCTACTTCTGTTGTTCGTTGGACAAATTTTACACAAGTCTTTGCGTTGATTTCTTGAAAAGATGCCATTATGATTGCTTTTTCAGATGCACCTGGTATTTATAATTAATTAACTTTGTTGGCACTGACGTAAATAAATACTAAAATTAGAGGCTGAGGGAAGGTAATCCCACGGGATGGTTTTGTTCGGCCAGCGGTATCGCGCGTCAACCTCCATAAGTTGTCCTTCGGGAAAGTTTTTACTCACAAGCAGGGAAATTTTACTCTCCATTGTTGCTGAGAAAGTTTGAAATCAACTGAAAGTCTTAAACGTTAGTAACTAAAATTACCCAGATCTTCAATCAGGGCTGGAGCTGTGGCTGCAAAAATTATGGCCAGGAGACCGGTTGCTACCAAGAAGTTGAGCATGATCGCGAGTTGACTGGCAAGAGAAGGACAAAAAAAAACGCCGGCAATTTTTTATATTTTATCAAATGACGTAATTTAATTTTTATGCAAGCATCGCAGTTGCCACCGTTGCAGGCACGTGTGAGTAATTTATTTAATATAAATTATATTCTTCTGAATTAATTTAAAAATGGATAATTTTATTTGAATAGAAATTATATTAAATTTAAAAAATGCAAATCACTTCAATAATCATTTTTTGAGAATTTCAAAATTGCATAAGGTTACAAATAATTATATGTCATTGAGGGCATTTTGATTGCATTGTCTGTAAATTAAAAAAAAAATGCTACAGTGTATTGATTAATTAAAAAATTAAAACACAAACACACGGCGTAGTTTTCTGGTCACGTGAACGGGCTGACCTTGGTGCGACCGGACTAAAATTTGTGTGAATTACGCCCAATTTTCTAATGCAAATTTTACCAAACCAAAAAAAAATACAGCCGCTTTATATCATAATTATATTTCCAACTATAAGCTTCGCAACTTATTTTATATTTCCATTTTGAAGGTTCACATAAAAATTTACCACTGAAATGTAAAAATTAATTGCAATTATAAGCCGAATTAATTCTGGAAATGTCCGATTCGCTCAAATCCGGAAGGTTGCCTATTTGGCTGATATTTGCAAGTCCCGTGTCCACTCCACTCTTAATTTTGCAGTTAAAATTATTCAAGATGTAAGAGAATAGAAAAACGAACCAAAATTTCTATGGACTTTTTCCCATCGTCGGTCAAATGGTAGTGCATAATACTTTTGAAATCATAGGGCAAGTTAGAGAACACGCCGAGTCGTGACCGCTTCGTATATTGAGGCCATCCGTCCTTGCTGATGTTTTGCCAGATAATACGTATGTAGAGATCTCTGTCGTATCTTATGTGCTCATGACTGAGCCCCAGTATGTGACCCATCTCATGCATTGGTATTCTGGTTCCCTATAAAGTATGAATTGTGGAAAAATACTAATAGGAACTTTCTTTGTATTTTAGCTTTTAAGCTTAGCTTAAACAGATTATAGCAATTAAAGAAATAACTTGCCTTTTCGAAGCAGTAGCTATTTGACTCCAAGTTTAGCAAATAATTAGGCCACGTGTCACTTATGTAACCACGGTTCAAAACAAAACATCCAGCATTTTCATTACCGACTCTGACATAAGTTTCTTCGGTTGTTCGTTGGACAAATGTGACGCAACTCTTGGTATTCATTTCTTGAAAAGCTGCTTCTATGATTGCTTTTTCAGACGCACCTAGTATTTTCAATTTAAAAAAACTTTATTTACACTGACGAAAATGAATACTGAAACTTGAGGAAGGATCATAATCCCATGGGATGGTATTGTCTGGCCAACGGAATCGCTCGTCAACGTCCATAAGTTGTCCTTGGGGAAACTTTTTACCCCCGAACTTGGAAATTTTTCTTTCCATTGTTGCTGAGGAGGATTGAAATCATTGAAAAGTCTGAAATGTACAAAACTAGAACTACCTAAGTCTCCAATCAGAGCTGGAGATGTGGCCGACAAAATAATGGCCAGCAAACCGGTTGTTGCCAAGAAGTTGAGCATTGCGGATTGACTGAATGCGTTAAACAGAACTCAACGTCAGCTAAAATTTGTTATCAAAATGAGCTTTTTTACGACCGCACAACAGTTGCCACCGTTGCAGTTGCGTGAATAATTTGCTGAAAAATTTGTTATACCCTCCACAATGTGTTGCATTGATTACAAAATTTTCGATTAAAAGCATTCCAAAGTACAAAATAATGCAACATATAATTATTGTCACACAAAAAATCAAATTGAAACGCCAAATCTTCTTGAAAATTTTAGTGCAATAAGAGATACGAAAGTGCTTATATATCAAAATTCCAGTTATTAGCCTCGCACTTATTTAAATATTTTCGTTTTTTCAAAGTTATTTTCCTGGTAGACAAATAAAAAATTGCTTCTGACGCATTTTCTGGCTTTTCAGTGCACTCAGAAAAGTAATTTTAGATAAGAATTCATAGCAATTAAAAGAGAAGCGAGAGACCACACATGTAATTAAAAAATGTAATTTAAAAGTGGAAAAGGCAGAACATATTTCAACAGGATACATAAATTTTATTGATAACGACTTGGCCTCAAAATGTCAGTTCATTTCTTCCATTTTTTGATAATATATAATTATAAAAATTCCGTTTTTTTTTCATTAATTTTTTATGCCACGAAAACACTTTTACCCGATGTCCAATGCAAATTCATATTTCGCTAAAAATGGGAAATTAATTTCTGTTACAGGTGCAATTTTCGAGCAGGGAACGGAGGAAGTGCAGGCGGCGTTCAAATACGCGATGCTGCAACACAACCAGAACATCACAGCCAGGCGATTTGAGTTACAAGCCTACGTCGACGTCATCAACACGGCCGACGCTTTCAAATTATCGAGAATAAGTGAGGATAATTATAGATGAATTGATTGAGTTAAAAAGATTAGTGAATAATTTATAAACCTATCAAAAATTTTATAATTTTGCAATACAATTAATATGGAAATCACTGGAAAAATTTGTACTGAAACGTTTACCTTAAGATCAATGTAAATTTTTTGATAAAGCTTCCTGTTGAATTAATTCTGCTTATTTAAGTGGGGTGAATTTGTGAAATTTTTATAAATATCAGTGGAGCAATAATTTATTTAATTAAAGACGTTTTATTTTGCATAAATTGATGCAAAAATTTCAGAAATGACATAATTATATTATTTTTATTATTATTGTCTTTATTAAACACAAATGTGTACAACGTCATGAATTGCTGGTCGAAATCAATAATAAATCTAAATTTAATTATAATTATCATTTAAGTTTTATCTTTATCTTGTGTAGCATATTCGGTTAGAGATTTTACTCTTTTAGAACAATTAAGGAGGTGATACTGGGAAATCTCCTTTTCATCACAGAGTTTACATACACAATTTGCTCTCGCAGTATGGAAAGTTTTATCTTTACAAATACAATGATGGAATCCGTGCATTGCAAACCGGGTTTGAACATGTCTGTTTTTAAACAGAGGCTTTTTCCAATTATTATTTAACATTGCTGGTGTTTGGTATATTTCATCGTTAAAATCTCTTTCTTTTCTCACCCGAATATGTGTTAGAAACTCATCATAAGCTCTGGTATCACTTAAATTAAATGTATTCTTAATTTTAGTTACAAAAGGCTCTTCATCATCAATCAAAAGATACAAGTATGAGCTTCTAGAAAATTTGCTTACTCCTAAAACTTTTTTGAAATATCTGGTCATTAAATTTTCATAAGTGACTAAGTCACACATTTTTAAATGCGGCCAAATTGCTTCCACGCCATATATAGCCATGGGCGCAAATTTAAGGAAAAATAGAGATTTAGCACACTCAAGGGATAGATTCCTCAAGTTCCCACCATAATGCATAGCTGCGAGTGACTTTTTACATCTTTCTGTTACATGTTTTGAAAAGGATGTGCCACTTTTCTGAAAAGTGACACCTAGATATGAGAAACTGGATACAAATTCAATTTCTTTTCTTTCACACATTATATTATCTAATTTTCCTTTTGGCCCTTTTCCTTTATTTGTAAATTTCAAAGCTTTTGTTTTGGATACATTTATTTTTAAACTATTTTCAGAGCAATAAATCAAAAAATTTTCTAAAGCTTTTTCCAATTTTTTACAGCTATCGCTTATAAAAACCATGTCATCCGCAAAGAACAAAAATTCTACTCCTTCAATTCCCTCGAATATTTTAATTATGTCATGAATATAAATATTGAAGCAGATTGGACTAGAATTCATTCCTTGTTTAAAACCATTTGATTGGACAAAAAATTCCGATAAAGAAACTCCATCGTCTAGCTGAATAAAGTCTTTTTCTAAAAACTCTGAGAGCAACAAAAGCTCATTTTTTGAAAGGATATTTTTATTAATTAATTTATGCAAAAATAATTTTCTATTAGTCAGGTCGAATGCTGATTTTAAATCAATAAAAAGGGCATACTTTTTATAATTTTTCTCTCCCATATTTGTGGATATTAAAGTTTGAAAATGTTTTATTGCATCAATTGTGCTCTTACCCGGCATGAACCCATACTGTTCCTGTGGAATGAAATCTCCGAGTTTTGCTAAGAGTCTCGTTGCCATTATTTTATCCAACAATTTACATACAGTGTTGCACAATGAAACCCCCCGATAGGAATTTAAATCATCAATCTTGCCCTTATTTTTATATATCATTTTCATTTTAGACTGTTTCCACTGTTTCGGAATGGTCCCAAGCTCAAGGCACTTGTTAAAAAGGCGAACAAAAATTTGAGGAATTAAATCAAAAAGCGCCTTAATATGCTCGTTTGTTATCAAGTCTGGGCCTGGAGACTTTTTATTTTTTAATTTCTTAATAGCGTGGTTAATTTCTGCTTCCGAGATAAGTTCGCAAGTAAGATTTTGGTCGTAGTTTTCTAATAGTGATTTTAAGTTTAGGCCCTCCTCTGAATTAACTTTTAAGTTGTCTAAATTCAGCATTTTGTGCATATATTCTACACATTCCTCCAGTGGTATAGAAAGTTGAACTTTATTTAATTCATCCTGAGGTTGCCTCAGAAACAAATATGATTTTTCTTGTGCTGCTAAAATAATGTTTTCTTCTATTTTTCTCTGGTGTTCTTGTTTTTTGCAAATAATCAAAGTTTTATATTCTTTACGCGCGCATTTAAACTGTTCAACAAGGCGTAAATTTCTAAAATTTCCCATTATTAACTGGTGATATAATTTTAAAACTCCATTTCTGACAATGAAACATTCTTCGTCAAACCATATCTTACTTTTACGGTTATTTTTTCTAGGTACTTGTTTACTCTCATTAATAATTTGTAAGATGTGCAAGTAAAAGTCTTCTATATTATTGCTATCCAGAAGCATATTTAAGTTGACATAATTGTTTTCTACTAAAAATTTAAGTCGGTCAAAATCAATTTTATTACAAATTACTTTTTTAGTGTTATTTGTAGCCTTCGGGAGTTTGCATTCTAATAATGCTGTGCACTCCACTGGGTGATGGGCTTTAATTAGCGTTGTTTGGTTAACTGCTAAGTTTGAAATGTAGAATTTTTTACTCAAGAATATTAAATCAATAGTACTTCCATGCAAATTATTTCCGTAAGTCCTAATCTGAGTATCATTAGCTAATGATAGCCCGAATCTTTCTGCCAATTGCAATAATGTTTCCCCCTTTTCGCAGGATTTGTCTACTCGGCAATTAAAGTCTCCTAGTAAAATAACATTTTTGTCGTAGAAATTTTCGATTAAGTTGAATGCTTCTAAAATCTCATCATAAATATCTTGTGAACTCATCTTTGGATGAAAATAGCATAATACGGTAATGAAATTTTTAAAATATGTTATAATAGTACAGTCTTTGATGAAAAATTCCTTTTCTATTCCTCCCAGTCTGTTATTAAAATAAACTGATAAACCCCTCTTAGGTCTTCCCCCATCCCCTTTACTCCCTAATAAGTTTACAGAATAATACCCCGGAATGTTAATAGTTTTTTCGACACAGAAAGTTTCGGTAAAACATAAAAGATCAAAATTTTTAAAATAATCTGAATAATTTAAATGTAGCTGTTGCAAAGTACCACGAAGGCCTTCGGCATTCCAAAGCATTAACTTTAAATAAAGAACGTTACTATTACTATTTTCTTGGGTTTCAAGGGTGTGGGGACTTAGGCAAAATCCTCCTCGTCCGATGTTCCGGGTGGTCGCAGTGGCGCTTCGTCGTCGGCCTCGCCGTTGACTAGCCGGCGCTCGATGTCTTCAAGCGCCCGGAGTCGGTTGGTTCTGGGGGTGAGTGCAAGCTGCTGCGGGGGCTGCGGTAGGGCGCCTTGGGTACGTGCCCTCGGCGGCTGTCCTCTTTGCTGGTGGTCGTTGGCTCCTCTGCGCCAGTGGCTGCCAGGCGTGCGATTGGCGCGGGCGCGCCACCACTGGCCTGGACGATTGCAGATGACAATGTGTATGTCTTGGTTCAAGAAGACATCCCAGATCTGCTGCTCCATCCACTTGTCCGGGAGGCCGTCGGTGCGGCAGCCCATTGGAGTTATGGCCAACTGTTTGACGCCATTCTTGTGGCACCAGTCAGCCAGGCCCTTATAGCCGGCCCTGTAGTTCTCGACGAAGTTGCCCATGGTATCTTGGAGGCGCTCCGAAGACCTCTCTTTGCAGATAGTGTGGAGCAGTGTGGCCTTCGGAAATTTGTTGTTGCTCATTGGAACTGGAATAACGCAGCCGGGGGCACCGTCAGCATCGTACGGAAGATTTACCCATCCGTTGACGTTGCGAATGTGGTGGGCGATACCTCGGCCCATGTTTCTGTCCCCGCCGATGGCATGTGCCACAAACGGGAAGCCCAGGCGGAGGACGTCAGCGCTGCGCCACTCGACCCTGCACCGTGCGTTGGGTGGTCGGTTGACGCCGCGCTTTTCGATGGTGGCAGCCTCGGCCTGGAACTTGTTGTAGGCTTCATCGTGTTCGACTTGCGCCGGCAGTTGGTGCCACCTCATCCTTCTGTCTCGAGAGTCTCGCCCCGGGTGCTGTTGCGGACGTTCGTCGCGCTGCCGGTGATTTTGGCCTTTGCTCTGATGGCCGCCTCGTCGTTGTTGGGGGCCGCGGCCGCCGTCAGTCTGCTGGTGGCCACCTGGGTGGCTACCGCGACGCCGCCGAGGGGTGACGGTGTTCCAGTCATCGTCGTCTTCAGTTCCGGTTGTTGTTGTTGTCGGCGCCGCTTTGTTTTGCGCGCCGTTACTTGGGGCGCGCTGATTGGTTGCTACGTTTTGAGCCGCTTCCTGATTGGTCGCCATATTGGATTCTGAAGAAATGGCGTTGGCCAAGGCTGGAAAATCGGAAAAATCGACGGAACAGGCATAATTCTGGCGGATAAACCTGAGCACGTCTGATCTCAGTTCCGTGAGCTCCTTCTTGACGTCAAAATACCCCTGCTGGAGGCTCTGGACGGTGAGAACGACCTGGTCAAAGGAAGGCCGCTTCCCGCCAAGGGGTGGGAATTCTCGCATGTCAACATCCATACTCAAATCGCAATTTCCCAAAAACTGCTGGACCTCGGGCGGATCCTTATCAATATAATCACAAAGCGATATTTCCTGCACAATTTGGTACCAAATTTGGCACCGCAAGTCCCTGCAAGCGGCTGAAATCTGGCGGAAGTCAGGAGGGTTCGCGGAGACCGACCTGAAGTTCAACTACGGCAATTAATCCATATTATTTTGTCATTTAAATGATTTAAATTATTTCATAAATCAAAATCCCATTAGAATGAAAGTTAATTTCCTAAATTAATATATCTTAATTCTTTGTCTTATATTTTCTCACATTTATGGAAATGAATGTATGAACTACTTCTGATGAAAAAATTTTTAAAATTAATTTCGGTTTTTTTATAGCAGAAGCCCCTTTTTAACAAAAGTACTTCATTTAAATTAATAACTTCTGAAGTAAATTTAAAAATAAAGATTTTTTACGTTTTTATTTTTAATTTCAAATCTCATAAATCAATTTAATTTACCCTTTATTAAAATTTTGCAGTTTTTAAATCAAATATCTACTTTCGTATTTTCTCAGTTTGCGCTCAGTTTTCGCGCGGCGTCTTCCTGATGCTGGGCGCCGTCAACCCTGACTCGTTTGACACGCTGCACTCGTACGCCAACACCTTCCAAATGCCCTTCGTGACTCCGTGGTTCCCCGAGAAGGTGCTGGCGCCGAGTTCCGGCTCGCTGGACCACGCCATCTCGATGCGCCCAGACTACCATAAGGCCATCATTGACGTCATCCGCTACTACGGCTGGCGGAAGATCATCTACTTGTACGACTCCCATGACGGTAAGGAGAAGCAACCCATTTGCGTTTTTCTTTTCAACCAAAATTACTCGCCGTGCCAATGATACACGACCCGTTTCAAGCAGTAAAGTGGGCATAAAAGTGAAATAAAATCGCCATAAAAAGTGTAATAAAAGTGACCGCGCTTTGTATTTTTACAGTCAATTTCGCGTTTCACGATTATTGATTTTGGTATCATCGTTTTTTTTAAGGTCTGCTAAGACTGCAGCAAATTTACCAGGGTCTGCAGCCTGGAAATGATTCGATCCAGGTCGAGGCCGTCAAACGTCTGCAGAACATCTCCGACGCCATCAACTTCTTGCACCACATTGAGGATCTCAGCAGGTTTATACTTTAAATTTAATTTTAATATATTCAATTATTCTAAATCAAAGAGAGTTTTTCTTCTTTTTGTAAGATATTTTTGAGGAATATTAAATTTTTACTTCCATAATTATTATGTACTTGCTGTTCATTTGTCCTATGATGGTCAATTTTTAGATAATTTTTTTTATATAATTATTACCATAATTCATAATTATTTTTGAATGACTCAAAGTAAAAATTGGATTGTTCGAAAGGAAAAAATAGATTTTTGTGTGCTTTAGGTGGACGCCAAAGTACATTGTGTTGGATTGTCCAACTGAAATGGCCAAGGAAATCGTTGTATCTCACGTCAGGGACATCACCCTCGGCAAACGAACATACCACTATCTTCTCAGCGGTCTGGTGAGTGCTTCTTGCGCCCTCATTTCGTTGACATTATCATTTTAAGAGCGATCTCAACATTTTTCCTTGACAAATTAAAGGGGAACATGGAAGAAAATTTTAAAATTTAATTTTTCTGCAACAAATAAAAGTATAAATTTTAATTTACCAAGTCAGCCAGTTCCATCTTTAAAAATTCTTATTTTAATAATATGATTTTTTCTTTTTAACTAAATTTTCATTCATTATTATGAGAATTTTGAGAATTTCTTTGAAAGTTTAATAAAACATTGGAAATGGTCGCTGAGGAGAATAGTTGCATTTGCTAAGCATTAAAAAAAATTACTCTCTCAATTTATTGTTTCAGTTTTCAAATCTGTCTAATTTTTACAATTTTATTCCTAAATATTCATTTAAGAAAAAATTAATTTTTTGTTTTGACGATGCATTAAATTCCACAGAAATAGGCATTTAATTCTCATTTTATTTTATTCATTCAAATTTTTAGATTATGGACGATCGGTGGGAGAGCGAGGTGATTGAGTATGGAGCCATCAACATAACCGGCTTCAGGATTGTGGACACGAGTCGCCGGATGGTTCGCGAGTTTCTTGAAGGTTGGCGCAAAGTGGAGCCTGGAAATCAGTCGCCGGCGGGAAGTGTGGCCGCGCGCGAAACTATTTCTGTGAGTTAATTATTTTTTGCATCGGAGAAGATGAGGAAAATTGGAAATTTCAGGCGCAAGCGGCACTAATGTACGACGCCGTGTCGGTAATGATCGAGGTGTTCAACAAGTTGCTGCGGAAGAAGCCGGACCTGTTCCGGCCAAACGTTCGCCGCGGCCAGGTTTTCAACAACGGAAGTCGCGGCCTCGAGTGTAATTACAGCAAAAATTGGGTCACGCCCTGGGAGCACGGAGACAAAATTTCACGATTTCTACGCAAAGTAAATTATATTTAGCTCATAATTAATTATAATTTTTGGTAAAATTTGTTAAAAAAAAAATCTAGTTATATTTTGTTGACAACATTTACATAAAGCATAAATTTCAAGTTAAAATTGAAGTGTTTAAAAATAAAGATATTAATTTATTAGAAGTTTTGAAGCAGCAATTTTTGTTCATATTTAAAAATTTACTCATAATATGTAGAAAAAAATTGAAAATAATTTATTTTCAGATGGTTTTTTTCATTATATAAATGAAAATTTAAATTGAAGAGTTTAAATGAAGAAATTCATTTTTATAGAAGATATCTTCTAAAACTCAAACTTGTTAATTACTAGAGAATTTTATATGAACGGTTGATATATTTTAGGTGGAGCTTGAAGGTTTGACGGGCGAAATTCGCTTCAGTGAGGAAGGCCACCGGATAAATTACACTTTGCACGTGATGGAGATGACAGTCAACAGCGCCATGGTCAAGGTGGGCATTTTATTCCGGGCAGGCGCCTTTAAATAAACATTTGCTCAAGTCTTGTATGTATCGCTTTTGTATAGGTCGCCGAGTGGACCGACGAAAAGGGCTTCACACCTGTGGCCGCCAAATACGTGCGGCTGAAGCCTTTCTCCGAGATTGAGCGCAATCGAACCTACATCGTCACAACTATTGTGGTAAAAAATTGGCTTTTCTAATTAAAATTCATAGACTTAAAATTTAATCCTATGAAATGGATAATCAAGATAATTTATTAATTTGAAATAGAATGATTGTCAAAAAAATGAATTCACACAAGACGGTCAAATGCAACCTGCTTGACACGCATGTTGTACAAGTTGCGTTTTATGTCATTTTAGGAGGAACCATACATAATGATGCGAACTCCAGAGCCAGGTGAAAATTTGACTGGCAACGACAGATTTGAAGGCTACTGCAAGGACTTGGCCGACTTGATTTCCAAAAAACTTGATATTCGATGTGAGGTTTTCAAATAAAAATTTCAGCAAATTTTTATAATTAATTAATTTAAAGATGAGCTTCGAATTGTCAAGGACGGAGCTTACGGGGCTGAAAATCCTGACGTCAAGGGAGGCTGGGACGGAATGGTTGGAGAACTCGTCAGGAAGGTACGTTCTTCTTTTTTTGGGGGAGAAATTAAAAATTAAATTCTTGATCAAAAAAATAATAATTTAACGCCAGGAGTCAGACATGGCGATATCCGCCCTGACCATCACGAGGGCGCGGGAAAGGGTTTTGGACTTTTCAGAGCACTTCATGGACCTGGGCATCTCGATCATGATCAAAAAACCAGCCAAACAGGCACCTGGTGTGTTCAGCTTCATGCTGCCGTTTGGCAGAGAAGTCTGGGCAGCCATTTTCGGCGCCTACCTTTTCGTCACGACGGTCATGTACGTTTCGCACTGCTGGAGACAGACCGTCTGCAGACCTAGGGTTATTATCAGCTACCCTGACAAACTCAATTTGAACTTTAAACCAGTTAAAAACAGAAATTAATTTGTTTATTTAAGACAAATTTGAATGATTTTTATAAAATTTTGTTAACTACATTATTTTTATTGAAATATGATTTTATTTCACTTTTCTCAAACATAAAATCTTCAAAAATTTCTAGGGTAAAATAAATGAGGATTAGTGATATTTTTTAATAATATTTTAAATAAAAAGAATAATTCTTAATTAAATTTAAGAAAAATGTTAATAGAAAATAATTCCGTCATTCTTTGATATTTAACTTTTCTATGTAACTCTTTAACCATAATCACTTAGAAATGCTATTTTATTTTTATTCCTTTATTCATTGCCAGAGGTCTGGGAAGGAAAACCAATACTAGCAGGTTCTGCTGAAAGCTGAAATCCATAGTCCACATGACTAGCAGACCTTTATTGAACGCTTAATGATTAATTAAATTATATCCAAATGAGTTTTCAATTGTAGATATAAACAATTTTAAAATGCGGCTAAAAATATCACAGATGGGAAAGAGTGATGAATATGAGGGGGTAATTTTTTTAATAATTTGCATATTTTTAAACCATAAAAGTGATGATTTTTAACTGAAAATATTCCTAATTTTGTAGTACCCCTCCCCTTTATATTATTTAAAAAAAAATTAGCAGCAGGAGTTAAGAGCAGTTACTTTAAATATTGAAGATTCATTTAAGAATTATATTATGACCTTGTATTTAAAAATATAAAATAGTTAGAAGCGGACATCATAAAAAGATTCTTGATAAAGTTAAAACCTTATAATGTTAAAACCTTAACATAAAATAAAGAGTAATTATTTAAAGCTGTCCCATAACTTGGCAAAGAAAATCATTTTTTTAAGAAGCTGAAATATCAGAATCACACGCGCGCAGTTAATTTTATCTACAACTGAGCGCAGTTTTATTGTTTGCGTTATTTTCGAGTGGGATTCCGGTCATTCCTGTGCTCGCTTGTAAAACCGCAAAAATTAAGGGCAGATATCTTGCGTTCGTCATGAGAGCAAATATTTCAAAAATCTGCTCTGGAAATTTGGAGAATTGCTCTCGTCAAGCCGACTGATTCGTTCAAATTCGTCGTGAATTTGTTTGCATTTTGCCCAACAACAAATCAGGCGCATTAATTCTCTCCGGCGCATTTCTCACAACAGATATTAACGACCAGCAGGCACTTTCATGGATACTCAATATAGCCGAATCCTTTTAATGAGTTGATTTGCGCTATTAAACTCATTTCCTGCTAAGTAATTATGCAGAGCAAGAGATACGGAGACCAAACGTACAAACTACACATCTCCTCTCATGCATAAAAATAAATAATCTCTTTGCGGCAAAAGTAAATGAAAATGGTACTCACTCTTAAGTTGATGCTGCTCCAAATGGGGAACACACTTTTCGTGAAGTTAACGTCCCTGAAGACACTTCTTTGAATTCACACTGAAGATCACACAACACACAGTTCAAATCTGCAAAATATATAATTTTTTAAACAAATTTTTCTACCAAATTTTAGATTTTAACAAAATATCTCAACAATTTATTAAAATTCAAGTATTTACATTGATTTATCTTTAAAAACTTATAGATAAATTTGACAAATTACCATCAATATTTTGTAATCAAATTGTAATAATTAAAAATAAAAATATTATGAACAAAGGCAAAAAATTCAACAATCAGAAGAATGAATGTGTTTGATAAAATTCAGATAAAATGCCCTTGGAAATATAAAAATTATTCTTTTGCCATGCAAATATCAAATCTTTTTATTTTCTGAAAAATGACAGTAAATTCAAACTTAAAGATCTTAACAATGTATTGTATCAACCAATCCTGAACTTTTATTACGCAGAAAGTTGCTTTTCAGTATTTCATTCTTATCAATGGAGCAGTTACATAAATATTAGTATATAAAATGCTCAGTAGCTACGAGTAAGCAATATAAAAATCTTTTAATATTTGTTATATAAATTTGTAATGTTACAAATTGTTCAATTAATAGTTTCTTTCAAGATTATCTTAGAAATTCTCAATTTGGAAAGAATGGAAAGGATTTTTTTTTTTTTCAAATTTCTACCAGAATTGGTGAAACATAACAAAGAAACTTTTAACTTGTATGAAACTGACCTGATGACAAAACCTGCCTGATTGGCAGTGGCCATCTCAAAACAGTCCCTCTGGTTTGAGGCCAGATTTTGACCATCGGGGAACTTGCCTTGGTCCCTCCGGACCCGCTGTCCCCAACCCAACTCCAACAGGATCCCTGTTTGGTCCTGCAAACAGCAGATGGAAAAATTCATAAGAAAATATTAAAAAATATAACTATTTAAAATCCAAAACAAAAAAATCCTATTTGGTTTAGAGTAAAATTATGAAACTTACCCTTGTGATCGAAAGTAAGAGATTTCAGTCAACAAGGTCGCTTTTGGCCGCTTCTAACATAACCATGCCATCGTTGACCTTTCAGGTCAGGTTTCGGACCAAACTTCCATGCTGAGAAATAAAATTGGACTAAATTACGATTCATTCCTGATTAAATTTAAATTCTGTCATCATTTATGTAAATTTTATGTGCATACCTTTTACGCGAGATTTTGGTCGATTTGGGACCGTTTTTCGACCGCCCACCGTTGCGGCAGGTTCTCTGCAGGTTTCCTTGAATGATCAGGTCGATTTTTACGATTTTTAGAGCAAAAATTGCAAAATATTCGCACAAAACTGAACATTAAACCAAAGTCATAACGCTAATCATATTTCATAACAGGTGACTTACTGGCGGGAGAATAGCACATACCAACAAAACAAGTTTTTGCATTAAATGGAAAATGACCGAAATTTCAAAAAATTTTCACTTTGGGTGTCTCTCAATATTTTAAATTCATTTTAAAGCTTAAAGATAAATCAATTTTTGATTTTGATGTCACCAAATCATAAACATTTTAACAGATATATATTGTGTTAGGTTGCCTACAAATTCCATCAATTTTAGTGATGTGAATTGGCGGGACCTGACGTCCACGTGGCACCGTTTTTTTCGCCCTGCAATGATGAACTTTGATTTTGATACCATCTTACGTGTGTCTTATAACAGAGGGCAAGCAAATCAAGCAACAATCTTTTGAATCTTTTTAATTGAAGTTAGGGTTTTTTTACCTTCATTTATAATTTTTTTTTCAATATTATATCAAATGAAAATTCTAAAAAAAAATTATGTGCCTTGTTTTTATTAATACAAGCATTTTTTTATTATTACTCTCCTTGAAACTATTCAAAAATATCAGAAATTTTATTTGTAAGAAGAACTTGAAAATAATACAATAAGCTTTGTAAGCTTATTTATGAAAATGAAACCGGCTAAAATAATAATTATTCACGGTGCTTTGGAAACGTTTAAAATTTTACTTTGGTAATTCAATTTTAATTAAATTATGATAAATCTGAGTTTAAAGTTCAAATTGTAGTTTGAAATTAAAAACATTCCAATTGAAATTTACTTTAAATATATTATTTAGAGAACTCGGTACGTCCAGCAAATGGGCTGGGTGGCCATCGCCACGTCCATCAGCCACCAGTTCAGCCTGAAAAACTGCATGTGGTTCGCGTTGGCGAGCGCCTTCAAGCAGGGCAACGTGCTGCTACCCAGGTCAGACCCCGATTGACCGTTTTGTCCGTTGTGTTTCAGGAGGCAGACATTGCGATCGCCAGCATGACCATCACCTCGGAGAGGGAGCGCGTCATCGACTTCAGCAAGCCGTTCATGTCCCTAGGCATTTCCATCATGATCAAAAAGCCGGTGAAACAAAAGCCCGGCGTGTTCAGCTTCCTTAACCCGTTGTCCAAGGAGATCTGGGTGTGTGTCATTTTCTCCTATATCGGGGTCAGTGTTGTCCTCTTCATCGTGTCGCGGTTCAGCCCGTACGAGTGGAGGGTCGAGGAGACGCTGGCAGGCACCGCCGTCGCCAACGACTTCAGCCTGCTCAACAGTTTTTGGTTCTCCCTCGGCGCCTTCATGCAGCAGGGATGCGACATTTCGCCGAGGTACAAAAAAAAATGAAAAAAAACCTCTTTCGCATATATTTGCTACATTTGATTCAGAAGGCTTTGCTTTTTTATTGCTCACTTTCATGTGCTTTTTCATTCAGCGTGTGATGATCAACTATGAAAATCAGTTTATTTGACAAAATAAAAATCATAAATCATATAAAGCAAAAAATAAATAAAATAATTATATTTTTTTAAAGTATTAAAATTAATATAAACTACTCTTTATATTCATAGTTGCTTACATTTTAATGTTACATTTCAACCAAAAATATATTTAGCTAAGATTAGTTTTAATTAATTTTATACGCATAAATTTAAAAATATCTACTGATTTTTTTCTTATTAAATCAAATATTTAAAAAAGTAAAATTTTAAATTGTTTTGTTCCAATTCTGAATTTGACTTCTTTGCCTTTAAATTTGCTTCCTCGCTAGACACCCAATCATCTCCTTGGATATCATTATTTTCATGCCTTTGAAAATAAAAAATTAATCGGCTTTGCTGCGCTCCCTCTCTAAGATCATGGCTATACTCGAGATCGCTCTTGCTTCTGGCCAATTAAAAAAAGTTATTGCTAATGAATTCTTAAAAAACTGAGCACTTTTCGACAGGTCGATATCAGGTCGAATAGTGGGCAGCGTCTGGTGGTTCTTCACTCTCATCCTCATCTCTTCGTACACTGCCAACTTGGCTGCGTTTCTCACCGTCGAGCGCATGGTGGCTCCGATAAACTCGCCTGAAGATTTGGCCTCCCAGACTGAAGTCGAGTACGGCACCCTGTACCACGGATCTACCTGGGACTTCTTTAGAGTAAGTTTTGTTTAAACTGAAATAATTTATTTCTGTACGATTTATTAAATTTTAATTATGTTACTCGTCACATTAGTTTTACTTTTAGGTATATTTAAAAATATATTTTATACTCTTTAATATTTGCTTACGTATTATAAATTATTTTAAAATTTTAGAAAATTTAACTTTATTATAGATATTACAAATATCTATTTGATGGTTCAATTTTTTATTGTGAATAGAGTATTGGGAGAGCCAGAATTAAAATTTTATTTGCAAAGTGTCTTTGATTTTTATCACTTTGCAATTATACTGCCCAAATCATACAATATACAATCAAAAGTTATTAATTTTCGTAATATAAATATCCGGTTTTTTCTCTTGCATAATTTTTGGAAATTTCCTTTTTTTAGCGTTCACAGATTACCCTGTACAGCAAGATGTGGGAGTTCATGAATTCGCGGAAGCACGTGTTTGTCAAGACCTACGACGAAGGAATCAGACGCGTTCGCCACTCGAAAGGCAAGTACGCCCTGTTGATCGAGTCGCCGACCAACGATTACACAAACGAGCGCGAGCCATGCGATACCATGAAGGTTGGCCGAAACCTGGACGCCAAGGGCTTCGGGGTGGCCACCCCTCTTGGCTCGCCGCTCCGAGACGGAATCAACCTGGCCGTGTTGTCGCTCAAGGAGAACGGCGAACTGGCCAAGCTGAAGAACAAATGGTGGTACGACCGCACCGAGTGCAGACATGACAACAAACAGGTAATTTTTGTTCCTTTCAAATGTTTTTTCCAATAATTATAAATCTAATTTTTATAAAGTATTTTTTTTTTTAATTTGACTTGCTTTTACCATAAGTAAAGGTTTAATCTGTGTATCATGTTTTAATTCATGCATATTTATATTTATGAATTCTGTGTATTAATAAATTAAAATACAATACTAAATTTAGCTAAAAAATCTAAAACAATTGTTGTCATGGAAACAATGAATTGTTGGATGAAAATGAAAAGGAACCAGTAAACTGCAAAGATTAAAATTCAACTTTTGAAAAATTATGAAGCCATTTACAAGCAAATCAATTTTTGATTAAAATATGAATATCTTTGGTATGACTAGATTTATGTCACATAAGGTGCAAAATATTATTAGTGTTTAAAACTAATATTGAAAACCTTTTTTATTATGTTTTAGGACGCATCCAGAAATGAACTATCGTTGAGCAACGTTGCTGGTATATTTTACATTCTTATCGGCGGTTTGGTCCTTGCAATGGGAGTAGCCCTTTTGGAGTTTTGTTACAAGTCACACGTCGAGGCAGGACGCGCAAAGGTCAGTTCCAAATCAGATAGAAAATAAATTTGATTTTTAGTATAAAATTTTTATTTACGCCTTTTTTAAGAATTTAGCAACACGATTTATGATAAAATCATAAATAATTTTTTCTGGCAATTTTATATTTGGATAATAAATAAAATGAATTTATTCTTGGTCAGATTCCGTTGTCAGACGCGATGAAAGCAAAGGCCCGGCTCACCATAGGCGGCTCGCGTGATTACGACAATGGCCAGCTTTTCGGCGAGCCCTCGTAAATCACGCAAGGTTGACAGCGCCTTTCACACACACAGAAACGTGTGCCACACGCGCGTCTCAAGAAAGAAAACAAGATTAATTCTTATACCATGCATGCATTATGCATTGTTGAATATCACGTGAATACAGGATGGAAAATTGTTGTGATTGGCTCTGTATAAATGGGTCCTGCCATAATCTTTGCCGACCCCTTGGTGAACGAAAAAAATCTTGAAATTTATTCTGCACACCATTTTTTCACATTTGAAATTGTTTGTTGTTTAGGTTGGCGCCCATCCATAATAAATGTGCATGTCGCTGCAAGAATGCCGATCTATAAACTGACCCACCCCTGTTTGTTTGAAATAAATTAATCTTTAAATTTGTAAACTTCGTCAAAAGCTGGATCAAACCTTCTTCATCCCTCAAATTTATGTATGTGTGAAGAAAGTTAGATATTTATATCAATGTTATATTCAGAAAAACTAAAAACCTTAAAATTAACCAAAACCTAAATTTCAAATGTTAGATGATAGAAACTTAAAATACGACAAAACTAAACAAATCATTAAATTTAAGATGGTGTTTGTAAAAAAATTGTGCAATAAAATTTCACTATGCAACGTTGGATTTTAGGTTCTTTGTATATCATTTTACCCTCATCTTAACAAACCCTCAATAATTTAAATTATTATTAAAAAAAGTAATCACGCAAGAAAATGAGAAAATTAAAATTGGCTTTATTGTTATTTCTATAGTACCATTTATTAAAAGGAAAGATAACCGTCTGGGGTTGTACTATTTTGGAAGTTTTGGAACCGTTTGAAATCATTTTGGATTTGTGTTATTATTAAAATTTTCAATAATAAATTATTTTTAAAAAATTCATTGTAAAAAAAATAATGCAAATATATTCAATCAAAACTACTTAATTTTTTGTATACCTCTGTATTAAGAGATAATTATGCAAAGGAGCAAAGCTGTTCTTTACAAGTTTAATTACTACAAAAGAAATTAATTTTGTTGGTCATTGCCGGGATACATTTGAAAGTTGTTTCTTGTTTCGACCATTGTTGCAAAGACATTAAATTTTGTGAAGGGTTAAATAGCATTCTTCAATTATTATCTCCACGAAGAGTTGTGCTTGAATTTTATTTTCCATACACTGAACCGCACTGAACAATGCAATGCAAGCACTGCTTTTTCCAAAAATTTGCACCAACAAAATCCTCAAAAAAAAAAAAAAAAAAAATACTCATTGTCAGTAAAAGTTAAAAAAGAAAAATATTTTTTATTTTTCTTGTCCACATAGCAGTGAAATATAAATTCCACTCATTTTCAAAATCTCGAAAGGATATAATAAAATTTAAAAAAATAAATCATCATTTTAGTAATTGTCTTCATTTTATTTGCGTTATTGTTCAATCTTCAAATAACAACTTGTGTGTGCGCTTGTGAAAAATGTCAAATCTTCAGCATTTGTAGGCTGAATTGATCCTTGCAATATCAGTTGTGCTCATCAGCTTGGACCAGCCGATCAAAGACGAATTAAAACCAGGGTTCACACCCGGCTGGGTGAAAAACTTAGTTGACATTTAGTTATTTAATTCGTTCATCTCACCATTAGTTCCATCGTGTTGCTCCCGGTGAGTGTAAAGCTGTTAAGTCTGTATTGCATAACGCTTAAAAAGTCATATGTGTACTTTGGGTACATTGCCAGTCTGGATGTTTTTATAAAATTAAACTTGGTAGTCTCTTGTATGTTGTTCCAGATCACCTTGATGTACAAGTCCCTGTCGTACCTGATTTGCTCGTGGTGGAATCCCAAAATATGCATGAACTCATGAATGGGGACCGCTATTCCCTGAATAAGATACAAATAAAAAATATTATATAATAGAAGATTAAATTCAAACCAAGTAAAAACAGCCTGGTTCCAGATTCATTGTAGTGGATTCTCCCAAATAGCCCATGTTGGCAAAACACCCTGCATTGACATTGGTCACCGTAACAAATATAGTTTCGTTGGTCTTCTCCACAATTTTCACGCACGTTTTGGCCATAATCTCGTCAAAACCATCCAAAATTAATTGCAATTGTTCCGCAGCTGTGTTAAATAATATTCCATTTTCGTAATTACTAAACTTTTAACGAAATATTGTCCTTCTTACTGAAATTCGAGTTTGGATCGATCATGTAGGGAACGGTTTTGTCAGGCCAACGGTACAGTTCCGACACCCAGGTGTACTGGCCGTCGACAGGTCTTTTGGGTGCCAAGCTCTCCAAATAGGCTAGAAATTGTGCAAAAAGTTTGCAATATCAAGAAAGTGGAAGCTAAATAAAAGTTAGCTCAAAATTATATAATTAAGGGATCAAAAAATACAATTTCCGTTTTGATTAAAATTTGTTATAAATATTCATAAGGTGACAATTGTGGCACATTTAAATTAAATGGAGAGAAATTAAATATGCTTGCAAACTGGCAGTCGGGTCATTTTTTTTTTAAATTTTTTTTATATTAAGTTTTTTTATTATTAATTGAATTGTTAATATTTTGTAAAATGAATTCCCTAGATGAAGTTATAAATATAAAATATCAAACCTAAATCTCCGTACCGGTCTGGAGGTGCCGCAAAAAGAGCGACCTGCAATAAAATTGCTGCCGCGACAAGAAACGTCAGCATTGTTTTCGGTTTCAAATGAAAATTCACAATTTCCGCAGTTGCAACTCCCACATATATAACTTGCGAATATTATCTTTTTCCGGGTCAATATAGTGATAAGGTGGCATGCAAATCTTGCCCGTCCTCGGTGTCTGTGCGGGTAATTAGGCAAATTATGGCGGTTTCTTTGATTTATGAGACATAAAACCTAATCAATTTTTGCACTTTTTCCCCGTGTCTGACTTACATTTTTGTCTTAAAAGTATCACTTCCTCGTTTGCACACCAGTTTCATTTCTCGCAGTCGCACGTTAACACGTCAACTCCCCAAAAATGTTGCTTCACTTTAGTCTGACACTTTTTTTGGTATATAAATTTAAATTTTACTACATTCAACAGAATTTAAAATGACTATATATTTCCATAAAAAAATCAGGTTTCCTTCGGAGCTTGCGCGGAAATTGAAATCTACAACCAGGGTAGGTTACATTATGATTTTAAAAATAAATATTTTCTTATATCTATAAAAATATAGCCGATTTTTTTGATACCAATGCAAAAGCTGTGGGAATCAATCAGACCGTTTGCGCGTCGCAAAAATTTGAAGTAGGTTTAAAATTTTTTCAGTTTTCATATGCATATTATCAAACTATTTAAGTCTACTGTTTTGAAATGCTGCAACACGCCGCTACCGTCTTTGCTGGGTTCAGCTCTCATTCCTCGTTCTTGCATCAAAAAGTACGGCTCCGCCGCAATGATTGACTGGCTCAACTCGTACAACATAAATTCTCTGCAAGCAAAAGCCGATAATTCAGTTACCTTGACCTCAAAGATTAGTAATAATTAAAATGAAACCTCTACCATTTTAACTAATTTCACTTATTTTCAGTTAAAACTTTGTGCAAACCAGCAGTAAATAAAACAAAGCCTAATTTTTTCTAAATTATTATTTTTATTTTCATTTCCAGTTATTTGCGGAGTGCGTCTTTAAAGCAAATTCTTGGCTGGTAATAACAAATTTGTATGTTTTTTAAATTTATTACATGAATTTTAATAAAAATAGAATGCTGATGCAACTATTAATGTTAATGCTTTCAAAAAATCTGTGACGGCGGGTAAAAGTGCCACTTGGGTCACAACCTTAGAGGGCATACTGAATCCAGTCAATGTTGATAACTATTTCAATGCGTATCCAGTGACGGACAGTAAAAATTTTTAATCCCCAGTGGAACTATTAAAATCCTCTTCTTTAACAATCAGTTATCGTCGACGATTACGAGACGCTATCCTGCTCTGGCACTGACGTGAATTCCGTGCCTTTGATGTTCATGCAGCTGATTCAGTCGGAGATTTTATGGGTAAATTTGAGTCATATTTTTGCCAAATTATCAGTAAAGTTATAAAATTTATCCACCAGATGTGCCCTGAGCAGAAAACTTTCACAAATCGTAAGCTTTTTAAAATTAAAATATAATAAATTTTTTTCTTAAATTAACATTTTTTTATTAGAAAACCAGTGCATGACAAGTCTCAGGAGGTTCCAATTCTGCGATGGAAAAATTTTTGAAAACACTGGTCTCGGGGTGTTCTTTTTTTCAACTGTTTAAATCAGTGTTTGGAATTATTTTGTTCAAAAAATGTTTTATAAAAACATCAAATTATGTAATTTTTTCCTTGCAATAAAGAAATGAGAGCAATTAAATACAGATAAAATTTATTTATTTATTTAATAAATAAATAAAATTTTAACGCCAATATTTTAATTGTTTAAATTGGAGAGCATTAAATCAATTAAATCTGAATCTATAGTCAATATCAATTTTTTGCAGTAAGATTTAATTTAGAAATACCATCTTTCATTACGTATGATTTCGAATTTTTTAATTCAAGCTTTTTTAAAATTTTTGATTTTTTTTAATTTTTATTTTAATCAATTTCAAATATTTAATTTGCGAAGAATGCTGATGGAAGAAAAATATCTTGTAGTGCTTATCTTACCAGCCGGGCCAGCTGCTGGCCGGCGCCACTTTTTTCCATACGACGCAAACCCTCCACGCTGCTTTCCCTCTCCTTCTGCAAATTTGGTTCGTTTTAAATAAAATTAATGTAATTAAAAAATGATTTTTAATTTTGACGTTCAAAGCTGTAATAAAACCGTTGTTTATCTGAAAAAATTTACAAAATTATGCAACATGTTTAGATTTTTCCTTCATGAAAAATTTATCAGAACAATATTCTCTGAAGAAAATAAAAACAGAAAATGCAATATAATATATGGGGTTGAAGAAAGCAGGCTTCGTCCTCATTGAAAAAGCTGATGTGGAAGAACCTCAACAGTCAACATATTCCAGAAGCGTGGCAGCCCGTGCAGAAATCTCCCTTCATGAGTCAGGCAGCCTATTGCGACGAAGAAATTAATAAAAAGGCACCTCGTCATTTCGGAAAACTGCCTTCCGCGGCCAAACGCAGCACCATCATCAGACGAACAAGAATTTGTGTTCAAGCAGGACTCGGGACTCAGTTGAGAAATTATGCAACAATAAAATTAATTTTGAAATCTAAAACTAAAATTTAAACAAATTTGCGCAAGTTGCGAGGAGGCCGATTCGTCAATAACAGCTTTTGAAAAGGCATTATTGTGGACCATATAACATTTTTTTAAACGATCGATATGCAGATCTGGTGCGACAACAACGGCTCTCTCGCGCGCTGAGCAAACCACGCGCGAGAGCGAGAGCTCATCTCTTCTCGCGCCGGCCAGAAAAGGCAGCCGACGTGAAAAATTCGTGAAGTAGACACAAAAAAATAAAAAGGAAAATTAGGAAAAAGTAGAAGTAGAAAGTATGGTAGAGAAAATAATTAATTTTCATTTCAGCGGTGCAAGTGCAATGTCTCTGGCGATGGCTTTTTTATAAACTCAAGTGAATTATTTTTTTTTTGCTTTTCAAACGAGAGCGGTATTTATTCCAAAAAATTTGAATAGAGAATTTTGGCCAAGGAAAATTTAAATTCAAACGTGGAAATAAGAAAATAAATTGTAAATCATTTCGAGCAGTTCGAATAAAAATAAAATTTTGCAACAGCCCGCCGCCGGGCTCACTTTTGATCCCCGCGGCCCGCGCTGCTCTAGAGTCATAAATAAAACAACCCTTAGCAAGCTAATGAAAATTTTGCCCTCCAACTTGAGTAAAAGTTTAACATTAACTAAATGGCCAGAAGGAGTTTTTTTTTTAATAAATAGCGCGAGCTCACAATGCTTTTTCGCAATCGCCTCAAGGCCGTCATAGACCAAAATCCTCACATGGGGGTTCGGGTTTTGCAGGGCCGAGTAAAAACGCCGAAGACCGAAAACTTGTAGTAGGATATTCCAAAAATTATTTAGATATCTATTTATTTCTTTGTAATACAACTAATTTTATTTTTAGAAACGAAAGCGTTACCCAAAAAAACTCATTGAAAGCCACCCTTTGCAATCAACAATGAGCTCAACCAGGTAATTGTTAATTACATACCTTATAAATTTAATTGAACCCCCAGTTCTACTCTCATCCGTGAAAGAAAAAGGGGCGCTCTCTTTTTAACCCACATAATAAAAAACCTGTCTCAATTGGATACCTCCATTGACTATGAATTCAATTATTCAGGAGAATTTTATCATTTTTAATTTTTAAGTAGCTATTTTAATAAAAGTTTGCGACATTTTTTTATAGACTATAAAAAATATATATATACTTTCGAGTATAATTAAATCAAATCAGTTTAATAGTTTAAACGTAATCAACATAAATTTTGTATATTATAAATATAGTTTATTGAAAATACCTCATCAGAGTACAATTCTTCAATATTTAAATTTATACAAGCGAAATTTGATAAAAATTAAAATTTTAATTAATTAAAAAATTAAAATTATTTTTTAATAAAAATTTTTTTTTTTAACAATTTATAAATTTAAATAACATATTATAAGGTCATGTTTTGTCTTTTCCCATACGGGCGTAGGAAACGTTCATTGAGGTGAAGAATGAGAAAAAATTATCAATACTCTTGCTCACAAGCATTTATTCACTCTGGGACCATAAATTGGTGAAATATTGCTCGTAAAACATAGAGAATTTTTCATTTTCCAAATTTTTCGAAAAATATTTGTATGAAACTCAATGGAAGTAAGGATATTTTCAGACCATACAAAAAATAGCATTGAAAATAGAATTGTACATAAGAAATATATTGAAGAAAACCCATCCAAATAACAATTTCACTTAAAAAAATAGCGACCCCAGAAAAAGAGAGCGCTCGCGAGCGCTCTTTTGGGTAAAGAGCGCGAGCTTGAGCGCTCGCGTGAGGAAAAGTTGGAAAGCGGGAGCGCGAGCGCAATTTTCTGAAAAGAGCGCTCGTCAACCCTGTTAATATCAAAGTTCCATTTCATTATTAAATGTATTTTATCTTGTATGAATAAACAATGTTCAGGAGTTTGTCGCTCTAAACAAAACAGAGAATTAAACAATTATCGCGTAGGTAAATAATTTTATACCACCCAGCACATTGATTCCATTTTTGAAATTCTCCTCCACCGCATTTCAAGAATTTTTCCGCTCTTTCCAGTCCATAAAAAAATTGTTGGAATTACTCAATCATTTTGCTTGCGCTCGCACAAACGGCTTCGCAAGTCTGGCAATGTTCGGAATGCAGGCAGCGAATGCAGAAAGTCGCGGCGGGCCAGCAGTGGCTGCACGAGGCACGGCGCAGCGTGCAGGCAAAAGTTGATGCAAATATTCGGCTGGCAATTCAGTCTAGATGGTGCGCTCGCGATTCATTCCAGAGTGAATAAATGCTTGTGAGCAAGAGCATTGATAATTTTTTCTCATTCTTATATTTTGATTTATTTATTATTTGCTCAAAATTGAGGGTCAGAAATTTATAAAAAAAAATAATACCCAAAACCTCCAAACCACTCTACATAATTCGTAATTTACGATTATAATTATTTATTCTTCTCGGTAAATACAAATTTTGAAAAAGAAAATAAAGTGAAATTGTCAGAATAAACTTGGGCGAGGGAATTAAAAAAAGTTGCCGAAATAAATCTCACATTTTATTATCTTATAATTTAAATTTTAATACAATTTTATTTAAAATTGGATAGGCCTTTTGCATGCATGTTTCGCGCCAGATCTGTTTGAAATCTCACTGCGAACGTCCGCCACCAGGTGTCTCCAGGGCATCGCCCCGTCTGTTTTTATTTGTCAACAAAGCTCCGCTTTTCGGCGGAAAATCTGGCTGTCGGCCGAACCTCGTGCCGAAATTTGGTTTTCACGGGGTTTTTGAACGTTCGGGAGCCGTTTTGACGAGTCGGTAAGCGAATGAGCGGCCATTTGGCAGGAAACTCGGCGACGATTTCGTCATCGCCGTGTGGGCCGCAGCCTCTGCTGGTCCCTCTCTCACTCACTTCTATTTATAGGCATAAGAGTCAAGACTGGTATTATTGCTGGCTGTCGGTCGAGCTGTTTTGAAGGAGGCCTTTTCCATCCGCGCCGGACATGGAGGACATTTTCCAATGGACCCGCGAGGGAAACGCCATGCAAGTGCGAGTCTGGCTCGACGACACCGAACACGACCTTAACCAGGGGTGTGTAATTTTTTATTTATTTTGACTCTTGCCAAAGTCGTCTGCTGTCGTCATGTTTCTGGGTCAAATGGGCGTGAGCCCTAATGTCTGTTCGAACCCAAAATTTACCCTTAGTTGCGAGGTTTTAACTTATTGAAATTTGTTAGACAGTTTCAAATGCTGGAAAAGGGTTTTTCCAATTAAAATATTTCATGCTTTTATTTAGCTCAAAGGAAATTTCAGTTTCCTTTTATGGGGGCGTGGCCTTTTTAATCAAACAAAGGCCACAAAGTGACCACAGTCAATTAAAATCTTGGTTTAGACTGTAAAAAGAAAAAAAAGATAGATCAAGTGACTTGAATTATTATTTGAGTTTAACTCTTTGAAAGTAAATAATTTTTTCCTGTTTTTGTTTAATTTTTTTTTCAATGTTTTCTATTTTTCCAGTGACGATCATGGCTTCAGCCCACTGCACTGGGCTTGCAAGGAGGGCCACACAAAAATTGTCGAGCTGCTGATCCAACGAGGAGCCAGAATCAACGTGACAAACCGAGGAGATGACACTCCTCTCCACTTGGCCGCTGCCCATGGACACAGAGAAATTTTACACCACGTAAGTTCTCCTTTTGGTACATTTTTTACAATTTTATTAAAATAAACCTTTACTCATCTTTAATTGATGTATTTTTTTTTTATTTAGATTCATTAAAGTTTTAATCATTTACATTAATTCCTTTTATAAATATTGATTATTATTTTTAATTTTGAAGTTGCTGCGGAACAAAGCTGACGTCAATTTTACCAACGAACACGGAAACACCCCTCTGCACTACGCCTGCTTCTGGAATTACCAGTTGATTGCCGAGGACTTGGTAGCTCAGGGCAGCCTGGTCTCCATAGCCAACAAAGATGGCGACACTCCCCTGGACAAAGCCAAAGGCCAGCTCTCAAAGCAGCTTCACGGTCAGTTTAAATCTATCTGAATTTTAATTTTTTTAAATTTCTATTTTGAAATTTAGAGCTGGCAACTTCCAACGGCCAAGATCTGAAGAAAATCCAGTTCAAGGATCAGAGCTGGTTGGGCATGAAGACTCGCAGCCGAGACGCAACCTTGTCGAGACACAGGGGCATTGACATCGGAGAACTCTCTCTGCACACAAGAATTGCGGAGGGTCCGTCTGGTGAGACGTGGAAGGGTCGCTGGCAGAAAAACGACATTGTGGCCAAAATCCTGGCGGTCCGAGAATGCACCCCTCGCATTTCGAGGGACTTTAATGAAGAATTCCCAAAACTCAGGTAATTTTAAATAAATATACAGTAAAATTTTTAATTATTTAATAAATTTAAAAAATGGAAATCTTTTTTAATTAAATTTGATAAGGAAAAAAAATGATGCATTAAATTCCATTACTCACATATTTTTTAAATGAAACAAATTTTTATGGCTAATTTCCTAAAAAGGTTTTTTATTTTTATATATTAATTCTAATTTTGATTTTGTTTTTGCAGAATCTTTTCCCATCCCAATGTGCTTCCCGTTCTCGGCTGCTGCAACTCGCCACCGAGACTGGTGGTCATCAGCCAGTGGCTGCCCAACGGCTCTCTTTTCCGCCTTCTGCACGAAGAGACAGGCGGTCTCGTTGTTGACAACGCCCAAGCTCTTCGATTCGCCCTCGGAGTTGCTCGAGGAATGGCCTTTTTGCACTCGATCGAGAGGATCACTCCCCAGTTCCACCTCAACTCATACCACGTCATGGTAAATTTATGATTTACTTTCCGACTTCTTTTCTTCTAAATTTCAAATTCAACTTTTTAGATCGATGACGACCTCACTGCCAAAATCAACATGGGCGATGCCAAATTCTCCTTCCAAGAGAGAAACAGAATTTACCAGCCTGCTTGGATGTCTCCAGAAGGTGAAAAGTTAAAATTTGGACGAGTAAAAAAAATTTAAAATGGAATTTTTATTTCCAGCCCTGTCAAAGGGACCGAAAGAGCGGAACTGGGAGGCTTCCGACATGTGGTCTTTTGCCATCCTGCTGTGGGAGTTGGCCACTCGCGAAGTGCCTTTTGCTGACCTTTCACCAATGGAGTGTGGCATGAAGGTAAATTTTGGAAATTTATAAAATTCCAAAATCAAAAATTTAAGCTAAAAATTGTAACTTGTGATTTCATATACTTTTAGATTGCCCTGGAAGGTCTTCGAGTTGCTGTTCCGCCTGGAATTTCAGCCCACCTGAGCAAACTGATCAGGATCTGCATAAACGAGGACCCTGGCAAGCGGCCCACTTTTGACATGGTCATGCCCATTCTTGAGAAAATGCAACGCTAAACGCAACGACCGTCGCCTTGAATTGGATGCCTTCGAAAAAGTGCTTCTATGTGTAAATCATATTTGAAAAAAAATTCTGCCTTTTTCATCAGAAGATCAAAATTTGCACTAATTGTGACTTATAGATAATAATCACTCTTCTTAAGAGATCTAGCCTGTAAAAGTTAGGAGAGCTGTCAGTATTATATTTCTTGTTGATATTTTTAATAACAAAATTAATCTACTAGCACACTAGTCTGGACTCAAAAACTGTATTTGAAAACGTCGTAATTTTAATTTATTAACGCCGCATTTTTCTCTTGTAAAAAGGCACTGCAGCCGTATTTTGCACTTATTGTTGATTTTTATCCATATGCATATTTTATGTAAAACCATTTTTTGAACTGATTAACAAGCACAAATGTTGATAACCAGTAATCTCACACGACTCAGCCTTCCGACAAGTTCATTTTGTACTGTTTTAATTACACCAAACCTTTGTGCCATTAAGAGAGAGATAGTATTTTTTATATTCAACAGTTTAACTTTTGGATTGTTTTTGATGCACAAAATGATAATTATTGTACATCAGTGCCTTCATAGACATCATCAAATTCACCTTTGTGAGTTCATGATCTTGCGTCTGCATAATCACCTTCGGGAGTTAAATAAGAAATGACTCTGTGTCTATTATTGTTGGCTAAATAAAAAATATAATTATTTCCAAAGTATGTATCAAATTAAAATATATATATGAATCAGAACTCTAATAAATAATAATATTATAAATATTTTTGCCTAAATTATTTCTGCTCAAAAAAACCTATTCCTCTTCTTTTTTTAAATTTAATTTATTTGGTTATTTTTCTAAAATTATTTAAATGAAAATATACGGATTGAACTTTTAAATATTTTTATTAAACATTTCATTAAAATTGATTTTACAACGATAGATCTTGTGATGTGTTTGCGGGGATGTCCGTTTATGAATCAAGGGTCAGAAGAAGGTCTCTCCACTTCTACACGAAGCCACAATTCCATAATTATGTACAATAATAGTTCTTTTTTAAGTTGATAATCATACAATTCTAGCAAATTTTGACTTTTGCTGAGAGCCTTAATGCAGCCCGCGGTACACACAAAGAGAGAATAAATTAACTTTTATCCATTAATAGCCAAAGTAATTAATTATAAAACGAATAAATCAGCATTTTCTCTCAACAATTTAAGTATGTGTATATTAGTTTTTGCGCGAAGGGATTTCCATGATCCACGCTTTTACACAGTTTTATGTTGAAATGTGTGTGTGTTGTTGGAAAATCTTGGAAGTATAGTTGAAAGTTTTATGTTTACTGTACAAAAAATTTGGCATGCTGTCGTTAAGTCGACGGCGCTTTGAAAAATCGCCGCTCTAGTCTAAACATAATTCGTGTGATTGGCACCAATTCAGTGTGCAAAGAACAAATGGCACGTACATAAATCAGTGTGTTATTTAAAATATCGAGTCGAGCTACAAACAAACACAGAGATATATAAATAGGAGGCTTTGGTACTTTTTGCGAATGGAAGTCCTGCTGCTACCAAACAAGGGCTCGCTCTTAAATCCTAACAATAAGTCGAACACTATAGACGAGGCGAGGAATCCTATTTTTTTCTTCATACTTGATTTTCAGCTCACGCTAAACTTCTTTTGCTTCTACATGTATTGAGAAATAATTATTCAATTATGTTACACTTTAATTTTAGAAATACCACGCATTTTTCTCGTTAATATTTTCTTTCGGTAAAAATCAAGCAGCAGGACGCTTTTCGTGCGAGAGGTTTTTGCTTCTTTTTTTAAATTTGACACACTGCGTTGGGTTGATTTTCGTGCAAATACAATAATTTTATAGTGAGTGATTAATGAAAGTAGAGTTTAGGATGATCGGTTTGGTCGGTGCAAGGCTCAAGTGAACAAATTATTTAAATTTTTTACAATTAAATCAACTTGTCCAGTCGAGCCTTCGTCGTTTATAGGAACATATCAAGACGCGGTTTCCGGTACAATTATATAATCAACGAGGCTGCTATTTAATTTTTGTATGCATATTTACGCGTACTTAATCCGCTAATTAGGCGACGCACATCACAATAATTAATCAAAGTATAATTATTTTACAGCTGCAGCTTTCGAGTTTATCTCAACCACGTACGAATGGAAAACGGGTAAAAAAGGTGCAAACATTTATATAAGTTCTTGCTCGGTAATCCGCGGTTTGATTTATTTATACATAGGCTTGCGACGAAATAAATTGTTATTTTTTTCACCTGCTGATTATTATTTTTTTTTCTCAAAAATTCCTCTCGTTATCCTCTTCACTAATAGGCATACATCGGTTGTTTTGAGCAATTTTTTCTTTAACATTACCTTTTTTGATGCGATTAAGTTGTTATTTTCTGCGGGTTTTTGCTTAATTGTTTGTTTTTTCAATTACAACGAAAAATGCTAAAAGCACTGGTTTGGTTTCCAGAGTTGGGAACTAATCGTTATATTTTTTTTATGCTGAGATGAACACCGAAACGAAAACTGTCTCACTACGCCCAACTCTGCGCAGACAAATTTTGCCACAAGCAATTCTTTTTTTTTTTAAATATTTTCTTCTATACCATTGGTTAAGTGTGAGTTTAATTATAACAAATATGCCTGTTCTTTAGTTAGTCGATGAGCGGCTTTGGTTTTGAGTTTTTTATTACGAATCGGGAGAGCGCCAATAAGTAGTTTCCGTGCGGCACCTGCTATACAAATCGTAGATTGTGTTTGTGTTTAGATAAAAATGCAAAAAGCGGCGTGTAAAAAATTGCTGTTTCGATTTTAAAGCAAGCAAGATTTTTTGTTAATATAGTAGCGTTCGCGGTCACTACACAGACAGGAGATAATTAGTTTTATTGATATTGGCAGTGTTGTTTGAAAATTTTCATCTGATGCGCATATATCAATTTAAAAACGCGTCTATTTAATTCCACATGACAGGTGTGAAAAATTGCTCGAGAGACGTACACAGTATTTTCTGAGCGAGAGATTTTTAAACCCTAGTAGGAATTCTATTTGTGATCAAGTAAAGCGTGCAGAGTTTTGGGTTCCTAAAAAAATTAATAAAATTTAAAAGAATGAATACATATAAAAAAAAAACTAAAAAAAGAAATGTAATTTTAAGGAAATGGTCGAATCAAGATTGCAACAATGGTGGTGTTCCAATAATTGGGGGAAAAAAATGCTAAAAATAATATTATGTTCATAATTGTTGTAGTTGATTTCATTTTTTGGTTGATTTAAGTTAACTTAAAATCCTCATTTAAGTTATCAGCCCTAAACTCAGCACGTGGAATTACTCAAAACAGAGGAATTAAGCGAGACATACATAATGATTTTTTACTTCGTAAACAACAAATAATTGACTAAGTAATGCAAGTATTAATATATAATTAAGTGCATGGTGTGTGAATGAACTCGAGAACTAAAGAATGTCCGTCTCGTAGACCTTGTTGGCGGTGGGGGCGGGAGCGGCCGGTCTGTCGGAGGCCGGCGGAGGCGGCGGGACGATGTTGATGGGGGCCATCGAAGCAGGTGCCAGGTGGGTGAGCGAGCCCGAGGTGGGGGCGGCGCTCAGGTTGAGACCTCGGAGGAGGTTGCTCTCGCTGCCGGTCTTCTTGAGCTCGGGGGCGGTCGGGAGGCGGACGTTGCGCTGCAGCTGCTGGAGGCGGGCGTACTGCTCCTGCAGTTGCTTCTGCCGCCGCAGCAGCTCCTGGTGGCGCTGCTCGAGGGCTTCCGAGTTCTTCAGCCCCTCCTGGGAGTTGATGGACTCGCTGCTGGAGCTGTTGGAGGCGGCGGGGGCGGGCTGCCCGTCCTCCGGGGGCGGGTCGGCCGCCTTTTTGCGGCGCAGGGTGCCGCCGGCCGGGGGCAGGTTTTGGCCGCGGGGCTGCAGGCGGGGCGGACTCGTCGGCGACACCAGCGGCGACTTGGAACTGGTGCGTGGGGGCGGCGGGGGCGGCACTTTGCTGCGCTCGGGCAGACTGGGCGGCTTGTCGTCGACCCTCGAGCTGCGGACGGGCGACGACGAGTCAGAGCCGCTCGGGTACGAGTGGAGGCGGCGCAGCGTGCCGCCCCCGGAGGCGGCAGGTGGCACCACCGGCTCGGTGGACGGGGGCCGCGCGAACGTCTGCAGCTCGTCTAGCAGAGTGTCGAGTGCGTTCTCCTGACGTTTAGTCGCTTCTCCGGGGCCTCCTGCTGGCGCCAGGACACCGCGCGCTGGAATGGTGGCGGATGCTGAGCTGCATGGTGTGCTACACCCGTCACCGGAAGACTGAAACAGTGCCGAGACACAGCACATTTTATATTTCCTTTACGACGCCCAGATAATTTTGATTTCGGAGCCAGCATTGAATAATGTTGTGCACCAAATTTATAATCTCGAGAAAATTGCAGACTTTTCTTAAATTTTGGTGAATAACATTAATAATGCTCCTCCTAAGTGATGGCCCCACCTTGCCAATTGGGTATTTTGTTGTATTTCATATAAAAATTGAGATTTCAAAAGTTAAAAAACACGTTAATTATATTAAAAAATGCAGCAAACCTTTGGAATAATAACAACATTAAGAAAGGAAAGAGGTGCTTAAAAAAATTTTCTCATACCAAAAAATGATAAAAAGTATCTACATAGAAAAAATGTTAGTTAAAAAAGAACCATGCAAAAAATTTACGCCGTTTGCTCCAAGGACTTTTGAAATTTTATACAACAGACTAAAAAAAGATTTGCAAGAGTAGAAATTACTTTATATGGTCGTTTCGAAATTATTTATCAATTTTATTTTGACAGCTAGATTTTAACCCACAGTTTTCTGACCTGATTTTCTGACTGGGATCACAATTTCTGCTAACAATTACTTGGACCTGCGTGATTTCGTCTTTTCATCCAGAGGAGGTGTCCTTGCAACTGGCCCTCGTCGGAACTAAATACAACACAAAAAAGCACTCAAACTAAAAAAAACACTTACTAGCAGTAAAAAGACACTCGTTGCCAAATCAAAATAAATAAATTGTATACATTTAGTATAGGGGTGCGCAGAATTATATGAGGAATATCAATAAAAGTGCAATTAACTGAATACAAAATGCACGTGAATCAGTCTCAAATCGACAAATTTGGAGTCAGTTAGTGACTGAGCCGCATGCCAGTAATTTTTAAAAAGAGATCAATCAACAATATCAACATTTAAAATATTATTGACAACATGCCTTGCACGTCCAAAAACGGGCACCTAGCAAATTAAGTGGAAAATAAAAAATTCTAAGAAAGTTGGGGAAATACGGTCTGAACTTAAAATCTGTCATAAAAAAGATTTTGGTTCAGAGATCTATTTACTTTGACAATGGAAATCAAATAATTTGCTGTGAAAGTAACCTAAAAAAATTGATGATTTTTAATAAAATAAAAAAAATTCATATATATATATTTTGAAGTGTTTTGTGATGTGAGGTGGTTTTTCTTCATGTAGTGTGTGTTTTTCAAGGGAGTCGTGATGTGCGGAACACAAATATGAGAGGAGCGTTTTATATACAATAGAGGCTGAGGAAGAATTTTATTTAATATAAAACCAATAATACAAAGATATCATCAGTTTCTGGAGTTTAAATATGTACAGGTTTTAATTATAAAGTTCGTCGTGATTTTTATTTTAATATGATGGGAAATCACTACTAATACAGCAAAAAGGCACCGCGAATCAATAAGTGCAAAAAATCCAGTGCGAATCCTAAAAACTGTTTTATGTACAATTTTATTTGTAAATAAGTAAGAACTACAAGCAGAAATGGCACTCTCAATAATATATTCTAGTGATCTGAATAGTGAAATCAGGGTGCATTTTGCATTTAAAGTGATAATTTTACTAAAATAAAAACTTCGACTGTGCTTTTTGCTGTATAAGGCACGTCATGGATGAATAAAAATATAAGTTTTCCAAATAAATAAATCAAGGATATAATTTTTCGTTTTGATATTTTTCAAAATCGACCATTATTATTTTCTATTCATCCATGGTTGTGATACCAAAACTGAAACCAACTAATATGACGATGCATTAACTGCATCAAAATTGCACACACCTTCATTCTTATGAAAAAATCCCAGAGCAAACCTTTTTATATGCAGCTGAATTTTTTTTATCAAATTTAAGAAATTAGGTTTGATTTGGAATTTCCAGTGTAAACATCTGTCTGTGAACAACTATAGAAATAATGATGAATGATAGCCACTTATTCTGGCCACATGCAGCCACATGACACCGATCTGCAAACACCATCCTGGATAAAAGTGAAAATAATCAAAAGAGAGGCGTGGGAAGGACAAATAATTAGTATGTATTTGAGATAATCATAATTTATAGTGATGTAATTAAGTCCAAACGCACACTCATATAGTTCAAAATCCAGCAAAAGTCTGAATAGTAGTAACGCAATAAAAGTTACCATTTATCAATTAAAAAAAAAAAATCATAACAACCAGATTAAGAAACAATAAATATTTCCAAAATAATAATAATAATGAAAATGTGCTAATTATATAATTTTTGATGAGAACGTCTTTTGGATTTCGGCATGCGGGGTTTTTTCATGGTAGAGCCAAAAATGTTTTTTGAATTTTGATAATGTTGCTGTAGAGTTATTCAAGATAGAGATGGTTGTGTTCTGTACAAAACTAATCGGAAACGAAAAACTGGGGAACAGCCAAAAGAGTAAAAATGTACAACCAGATTGTGGAACAAAAACGAAAGGTATGTAGTTCGGTCCCGCTTTGGATTTTCCACAAATCATTTAATAAAAAACAACCAGATGTCAGATATTCTGCTTCTTTGCTTGTGACAACTTTTGCAACTTGCCACAACAAGCAGAACCATAACGAGCATTAAAAATATAAAAATTTATAATCAAAAAATATTTATATTATCAAGTAAGAAAAGAGAAATGCATATATATATAATCATATCAGGGTCATTACTCTTGAGAAGTGACTGCTTCCTTGAAGTTTGAACTCCATTTCCAGTTGAGCCTGGACTAAAACAGAACGATCACATGGTAGGGTTTATTGGCATTTGCCTCTCAGCAGTAGCCTCCGTTTCAAATTTGGCCCTAAACTCATCTGTCGGGTGGTTAAATAATTCGATTTTTATTTTCACTTTTCTCAGAAAGTTAGTCGCATGCTGTGAAACATCCTGCGTGGGTGAAATCAATGAGTTTGTAAATATAATGGAGGAAAGGGTAAATATAAAATATGAACAAGAAGATAATAATATGGTGCGAGAAAGATTTTTAGAAAAAGAGAGAAATAAAAAAATATAAAAGGGTGCAGACAGAAAAACCATCAAGATTTATTGGTGCATTTAAATTCTTGATTGTTTTTCGGGGTTGGTATTTGTCTGAGTTGGCTGGATTTTGATTTCTGTATTTCATGTGAATCCAGCAAACTCGAAAGAGTAGAAAGTTTCCTCAAGAAAGCTGATGATATCATTCACAATTTTGTATTCTCGTGGTGTATAATAAAGAAGTGGTGATAGTAGGGTTAGATGAAAAACAAAAGTTGAAAAATGTGCCTCTTTTAATATAATTACGGAATAAATATTTTTTCCAACTAAAAATGTGTGCAGAGAGATGTGAGAGTTTGTGTCAGGGTACATTGGGTGTTGCGTGTGTAGTTGAAACAGAGGCCACAGAAAATCAACTCAACGGCCAAGTAACATTTTTATTACTTCACAAGAACTTTACTCTATATCGCCGGATTGGATATAATTATATATTATAGGATTTTGACGGAGAGGAAGATGAGAAAGAAGCATTTATTTTAAATATATCAATATATAAGAGCGCATGATCACTAATTGAGAAATAATCGTCAATAATATGAATAATGAAAGAAAGTTTGGCTTTCCATCCAATAGTAGAATGCATTACCTTACTTTGCGGAGAAATGGCTCCACTCTGCGGCGGCTGGTCTTCCAGCAGATTGTCTGGAGACAGACGTGCCATCTGAGGGTCTGGCACGTTGTTTACTCCTCCGATTGGCAGCCGCTGCTCCTGGACTGAGGCCAGTCTAAAAATTTCAACCAATTTTATTATTGAATTATATTTAAAAAAAAAAATTATTTTAATTTAAATAAATAAAAGATCAAAATGAAATTTAAATTAAAAAGTGAAAGTCTAGACTCAAATCGCAAGAAAAGGCAAACAAAAGAAAAAAAATTCACATCTTCCACTTGCCACTTGTATATTCTTAACTTTCAGTAAGAAAATAATTCTTCTTTATATAATTTAATTATTATTTTTTTTTATTTAAACTATTTAAAATATAAATCCACTATTTTCTTAAATTGACTAACAATAAATCTCCGACATGAGAATTTTGACTTTTCTGATATTTTTCGTTTACCTTTTCAGTGTGACCAAAGTTCCAGTGAGCTTTTTACATCTCCTCAACGCACTTTCCAGTCTCTCAGGCTCTTCCTTTAAAAACCTGAATGAAACTCACGTGAGAAAATTTTCAATACTCTAAAACTCGGCATTTTACTTTTCCTCTCTAACAACTTTCTCCATTTCCGATGAAAGAAGTGACTTCATCCCGTCCTGCAGGTTGGGAAAGCGTACTTTCAAATCTGCTACAGTTTTGCTGCAAGAGCGAATTAAACGTTCAAAATCTTCTTCTCAACAATTAATTAGAAAATTTCCAAAGTTCACCTTGACTTGCTCAAAACAAGGGCCATGTTTTCAACGTCAGACATGTTCACCCTCGTCTTCTTGTTTATCACGTTTCCTCTCAGCTCCTCGACCGTGCTCTCCAACTCACTGAAATGTTCAAACAGCGTTTAGCCCTTGAGTGTGTCATTTGCAAAACTTCCTCTCACGTCAAATCCTTCTCGAGGCGGATCATTTCTTGCTTGTACAACTCTTCCTCTCTGCTAATCTTGAGTTTTTCCGTATCTCCAGAAGCCAACCAACTGTCTCCGCCGCCAGTCAGCAAAAGCGCTCTGAAACCGATGATGAGTTCAAGAGACATTTAAGTCGAAACAAAATTACAAATTACCTAATTTTAATGAAAGTATCTCTGATGGTTTCGCGAACACTGTGGGCCTGTGCTTGGGACATTCTGCGCAGGTTTCTCACTTCCTGCCGCAGGTCTTTGGCCTTCTTTTGTAAGACTCTTAAATGATTGTACATCTCTGGGGTGAGCTGCAGGTCAGCTGTGGAATTTTTGCATTTCACTCAACTTTTTTCTTTTATTTAAATAAAAATAAAACTTAAAATTCTAAAATTTGGATAAATTTTGTCGAAAAAGTAACAAACAAGTACCTCTATAGAGATGTCTACCCGCATCATATTGGCCAGTATGGGTTGCCAAAGCCATTGGCTTAGGCGGTGGAGCTGGTTTGTGCCTATCTCTGTCTGCAACAGCAGAGAGAAATTTCTTTTAAAATTGGTTTTCTAATTATTTTCACTCGAAACCAAAAATAAATTACAATTATTTCCTAAACTTTTTGCAAAAGCAGACAGATTCAGGGACTCTCCAGAAAATGAATAAATTTCTTTTTTGGCTTATTTAGGAATGGCCAAAAATAAAAAATAAATATATATTCCTGGATGGAAAAAAAACTCTAGTTAACACATTTCAGCAGTAATAAATTAAACGGAAAGGAAGTTAATTGAAGGATTATCCCATAAATTAATTTTTTAAGAAAGAAGAACCGCCCTCCTTTTGAAATGAAAGCACCCAAATTGATTAATTACCTTGTGACGACATCCGTGGTAAGGTTGACGATTTAATGGCTGGTTTCGTTGGTTTAGTATCCGCTAGACATGCGATAAAGGTTGTTAGTCTCAAAAGCAGTTCAAAATCAGAGGAATCTTATCAATTATATTAAAAGTTCAAGTCTTTGGTAGGGTTCCAAGTTATTGGCGTATATAAGGAGTTTGTAAAGTAGCAGGTCGCATGTTTGTGATTATGAGCGTATAAAAATTCGAGTTAAAAATAACTGCACAGCAAAAGTTGATAAAGACTGGGAGTTAGCCAAAAAGCGCCATGCACCCAAGCAAAAGTCTCCAATTAGTGTCAATTTTCTCTAGTCCTAACTAACATAATTGATAGCAATTTAGAAAGGACGAAGATTCATTTAATTGTGAATATTTTCGTATGGCAGAGAAAGTAACAGGAACTCCAAAGGAGAGAGATAGAGGATATTTTGGTCGAATCTTGATTTACGCATTTTTTTGGTCAATGTTTTACCTGAGTGCTGAGGTGTATGCTGCTTGGGGGAGCTGAGCATGTCCGGGGGATCGTCACTAAATGATACGGACTTTTCAAACGAAACAGATTTGTCTGTAGCGCGCGATGGAAAGAGAGAAAAGCTTGGATTAGTCTCACAAAAGCACCCTCACACAAGTTTGCAATAGTAGTAAAAAAACTAACAATGAAATTGGACGAAAAACTCGACAATAGGAAAATAATTTAATCAGACAAATATAAACACAACAGACAACAGGGGTTTGAAAATTAACAAAATTATATCATCAATAAATTAACTTCAGGGTTTTCAAATCGCGTGAATTATTTAAGATTAAATTCAACAAAATTTATTTAAATTTGAAAACCCCTTGGAAGTATTTTTTAACGCAAGCGATAGATTGAGTAGTTAAAATTAAAGATAATTTGTATTTAAACAATCAGGAAGACTTATTAAAAGCACCTGAGAGCTCTTTTCGTATTTAGATATTTCTTTTTATCATAACAAAGTTTATTTAGTTACGTCCACAATTAGTATCATGAAATTTTAAATTTGTGCGAAAATCAGGACGACATTAATTTGCAGTGGTTCAATCCCTACCAGCAATTCGTTCATTCCAAATGAAAATAAATTTGAAAATAATATGAAACAAAACCTCCAAAAATTATAAAAAATTTTGAAGTGAAAGAAAAAGTACGTTTTTCATGCATTTGCAATTTGACTACCTTTTCCTAATTTGGGAGGTTTGGTGGTTGGTGTGGTGGTTTCGGCACGTAAATAACTTTCATCTGGAATGGGAGAAAAGCAGCGTTGGTATACACAAAACGTAACACACGAATACAAGTGGAAAATATGGAGAGAGACAGCGACAACATTAACAATACTTTTCAGAACCGCATAATTAAAAAAAAGTATACAGTAGCCGAGAAAGACGCAATGTATATTAAAAAGAGAGAGACACCAACACATATATATCAAATTCAACTCAAAAAGCTTGGAACAAATGAAGCAACACATTTTTAGTCAGTCGGTCCGGGAAAAATGTAAAATTTAAATTCGACCAAAAACAGAAAAATCACACGAAGCTCAAACTAAACAATCAATTGGCTCTTTAAATCGTCATGAGATTGCAGCTTTTTTCTTCAATTCAATCAAATTTTCTCATTTAGGGTGGTTAGTATTAAAACAACACGCGGCAAGGTGAAATAATGAGAGGATGATTCAATAGTAGAAGGTGCAAAGTCAAACCAACCTGGTAATGAAGCTGAACTTGAGCTCGAGTGCTTATCATAGTCATCTGATGAGGTGGAAGTAAAGTGGGAGACAAACAAAATCAAAATATGAACAACATTGTTGTACAGAAGAATAAAGAGAGAGCCGCTTGTTGGCAATGAAATTTTTCAGTTCGCTTCATCACTAAGCATGCAACACCTCACAAAACCCAATAATTCGTCAAGAGCTCTAAATTTTGTCAATTCCAAATTATACGGTGCTGCCGACTAATTTTAACCAGCAAAAGCCAATTTCCGAGAACAAGTGCACTTTTTTAATGAGGGTGTCTTAAACAGTCTGATTTTTTTATATCAAGTTTTTTGTTGTCAAAAGAGTTAAAAATTCTAAGAATTTTTCGTCTCTAACTGGTTTTTTTTTATATTAAAACTTTTAAAATACTAACCGTTTCTGTAGGGGCTCTGGTTAGGTATTTGCAAATAAGTAGGACTAGGCTGAGGACCCTGGGTCAGCGCTTTTTGCACCAAACCGGTCAGATTAGCCAACTGCCGTTCCATGTTCTCCACACGCAGTCTGAAATCGAATAAATTGTAATGAAAAAAAAAATTAAATACAATTAAATTATTCAGATTTTTAAGGAAAGTTTTCTGGCAGCGTGAAAGCGTAATAAAATAGAGGGCGCAGAAGAGTAAAAGTAAATGCAGCTCTACTTTAAGGGTGGTGCGGAGAAATATTAACTGAAAAAATTGGCCTAGTCAAAGCAGTGGGGGTTTAAAAATTTTAAGTATAGAATTTTAACCCTGATAAAAATTATTGCTTAAAAATAAAAAAATACTAAAGTATTTATGAAAAAATATTACAAAATTTAGTTAAAAAAGCACAACCCTATATTTGAAAAGCTAAGTGGGTCACCCACCAGCTGCCGCGTTTGCAGCAAAGGAGACAGATAGAGCTGTCGGTCGATTTTGCGGTGCGGAATTAAGTAAAAGGAGCAATAAATGTGCAATGTTAGTAGTACCGTGTGGCGTCGTATGGCATAAGAGCTGCTCCAGTTTGTGAGTTAATCATGTTGGCGGCAGAAGGGAAAGAGGGTGGTCGTGGTGAAGGTTGTTGTATCCGGGCTGCTGCCGCAGCCACGGTGGTCGACCCTCCCTTGGTGTTACCATAGATACCGTACGCTTCCATCAGCAGCTCATCCGAATCGCTAATTTAATTCATCACACACCATTTGAGTTTGTGTTAAAAATGCAAGGACGTTGATTGCAAAAATTATTTAATTAATATAAAAAAAACTGAGGAAGTGGAAGACAAAATAAATTTTGAAACTTCTTCCTCAAATTATTTTTAAATAACACACAGAAATAAGTTATTTTCATAAATCTTAATAAAAGTTAGCTTGTTAACATGCTACATTGCAAAATTTTGATGAGCTTTATTGTTATAAATTACAATCTAAATTTCTATATTTTTGTATATCCTCATGCTGAATAATTTTGAAACGTTCCCCGACCCCGACAAGTATGGTTTTGTTGAAGGAGATTTGGATAGGGTTGGTGCACGCATGCCATGATAGAGACAAAAGTTATTTATTTAGGTTAGTAATAGCAGTGCTTTTTCGATTTGAGAAAATTCCGTAACCCAAAAAGTTTGAGCAAGCAGAAAATATGGATTGAATTTTTCGATCACATACCTGGCCTCCTCGTCAATGACTGGGGTGATTGACCCCGACCTGGCACCGTACTGGGCGTAGTAGGGGTCTTCGTAGGCCCCGGCCGCAGGGTAGTTGGAGTAGGGCTGCCTGCCTCGCTCCGGCGAAGACATGTAGCCCGATTCTGATTGCATTAGATCTGCAAAAGTTACGACTCAATGTTCCATAAACGCGCAAGTAAAAGCACAAAATATGTGTTAGTTTAAAAAAAAAAAACTTTTGCTAAATTGGCAAGCACTATATCTACAAAACAGCTAGGTTTGCAGAAAGTTCAACAAAATAAATAATATACAGAAAGGACCAAAACACTACAAGAGAAATTAAAAATGATACCAAAACTTTCAGCGAGGTGTGAGAGTTGCAGAATTTTTAGAATGGAAACCTGAATTTAAGGAATGGATTTTTGAATTTTTATAGTATTTTGGAAAAGATTAGTCAATATAGTAATTTAAATTAAAAAGTTATATTTTTTAATTCTTAAAGGAAAATAAACTTCTATCAAATTATTTTAAGTTGTTATTTTTTGTTAGTCTAATTTTATTTTTCTTTCTGAGAGCTCAAATTCAAATTGAAGTCTCTCATGTAATCTCCTGTACCTGAGTACAAATCTCTGCTTCTACTGTACGCCCATCTTTCAGGGGGTCTGGGCGGGGTCGACTGGGGTCTTTGAACCGGCGAGGTCGGCGACCTCAGGTTCGGCGGGGACCGCATGGGGTCCCGCGGCCCAATCTCCTGGTAAATTCGCTGCTGCCTTAAAGGCGTCGAGAAAACTGAACCAACAACAGAAATGGATAAAACGAAAAAATAAGAAAAACATAAGCCAAATTCGAATTTTTGTACAAAGAAAGAAATTGTGCAGCTAGGAGTGCAAGAGAAGGAAAAAAACGGTGCGCATTTCGCTATGTACTTTGTTTACCGGAGCCGGCGGATGGGTTTTGTCTTACCTGCTTGCGAGACGGGTTTGGTCGCAGGCGAGTAGGCCCTGATTACGGGAGGTGCGCCTCTGGGCAAGGTGGCGGAACCTCCAGCACCTTGCTGGCCCGGTGGAAACGAGTGCTGCAGGTAGTAAGCAGAACTGCTTCCTTTGCTCCCCTAAAATTTAAATTGAAAAGGTCTATTTATTTCCTAATTACGATTATTTGAAAATGACAATCTTCATACAATTTTACTAAAGCATACCAAATATTCAGGTTATAAAATAGCAAAATTTAGATTTTTCCTGAAAGAGAAGCTTTTGTTAAAAAAAACTGCCCGATTTTTTTTAATTGTAATTTTTCTTGGCATTAGAATTGACTTGTTTTGCAGATTTCAATTTTTAATGATTTAGATAGATTTAATTCATTGAGAAAACGGAATTTTAATTTCTTTAATATAATTTATTTTCCTCAAAAATGGCAAGACCAAAATTTATAAAAAAATTTACAATCACGTTCATATCACCCAATCAAGTTGGCGAACTAAAATAAACATTAAAATTTGAATCGATCTATTTGGGAAAATGGTGATTTGTATTTATATCGGCTTTTCCTCAATGGGTTTTTTGTGAGTTGTTTACATTGTTTAAGAAAAAAACAATATCCTGCTCAACACAAAAGAAAAATATACTTATAATAGATTGATTTTAGTACTGATTCTTGTTAAAATGATTCCACACCCCGCGGCCAAAACATGTTGAGCAGGATAATGTTTTTTTAATAAACAATAAACAACTCAAAAAACCCATCGAGGAAAAGCCGATTGCAAATTCAAATCACCATGAATCAACTCTTGATCGTAATATTCTACCACAAAATGTATGGGAAAAGTTCAGTAAATTTCCGTAAAATTCACGTTAGAGAAAAATAAAGCAAAATTTCATGTTGAAAACACTGCAGTATATAATTTGGAATTTGGTACTCATGAATTTTTGAGTCAATAAAAAGCCAGCTAATTATACAACCACTTTCATAAACTTTTCGAAACTTCCCAATCATTTTTTCCCGCAGTTAATTAGCAGCAAAGTTAATTTAATTAAAGACTAAACACTGGAGCTAAAAAATTATTACCTTTAATAATTTAAAATTTACAAAAAACTGCTTTTAAAATCTCATATAATATCCAGTCACCACTTTTTAAGGCATTTTTCAAAATAATTTTAAGTGACTGACCTTTGATTTGTGGATATGTTGATGTTGGTATTCGCTATCGAATTCGGGCTCGCTGAAGTAGGACTGATCTTGGTCCCAGTTGGAGGGTGACGAGTGGGCAGGCAGCCCCCCAGGCAGGGGCGTCGACCCCACCGGCATCGCCCCGCCGTTGATGTCCGGACTCTCAAACAAGCGCAGCACCGACCTGTCCCTGATGTCTCTCAGGTGAGACCTGTGAGATGGAGGGTACCTGCGATTATTTTCAGAGAAGGTTCCGTTTTTACTCAGATCTCACATTTCGCTCCAAGGGCTTAATTTATGTAAACTTAAATAGTGGTGAGATTCACTGCACTTTTCATACAATTTGCAGTTTTAATTTATAATTTTTTTCTTTAAGGGGCGTTTTTTTTATTATTATTTTTGACATACCTCAAGTCTTCGAGCTCGTAAAACATGTCTTTGGAGCTGTCGTGGATGTAGATTTTCACCATGGGCGAGTCGAGGTACTCCATTGTGAGCTGCTTAGGGAAGGAGCGCACAAAGAGCGCCTTCACTGTGTCGATGCTCGTTATCTCGTTCGGCAGCAGGGCGCGTTTCGTCTCGTTCCGGTACTGCAGGAACACCAGGCCTGTGCCCAGGGCGCACACCAAAGAACATTAATCTCGGCATTTGATGAATCTACTTGATGCGCGAGTATTTTTGGCCCGCCCCCGACGCGCGCTACATACCTCAATGTCACCCCCGAACACTTTCGCGAGCATCGATCCGCAAACGAAAAAATTTGTTTGATTTCTGGCTCTGCACAGCAGATTTTTATGCGACCCTCGCGAGAGAGAAAGACGAGTGACACGGAATTGATTACGAGAGTGAAAACATTTCTGAAGCCTTTCCCCCCGATTTTTATTTTGAATTGATCGAAAAATTCAAGTAATTTTATAAATAATGACAGGATTAATAGAAATTAACCAAAAATGAATAGTATTGCTATTTAAACATAAAGTTTAGAGTTTAAAGGACGAAAACTAGTAAATATATCTTAAATCTGCATAAAATGAACGTTCCAGAGGTTAAAAACTAGCCTACACAAATGAACAAAGACTTTAAAGTTCATAAAAAATTCAATAAAAATTAATACTGTTAAAATAGATAAAAATATTAAATTGATTTTATTTATGATATTCATAAATCATAAGTTTATTTATAAGATTAAATATAAAAATTTATTTAAATTTAAAAAGTTTATAAATTCTCTTATACTTTTTTTACCTAGTGGTCTCTCAAGCGTCTTGGATGGCGTCCGCACCACCGGCAGCGATGACCTCTGCTTGCCGCCCCTCCTAAAGCCGGTGGAGGCGGTTTCCACCTCTGACATGATGCCCGGGTCATCGTCGAACATGGAACTCGAAAGGGGCACCTGCTGATGGTAGTAGTTTCGTTGCAGGGACGAGGAGGACTGGAAAAAACGACCATTCCGAAAATCAGCAAAATGCAATTATTTTGGGAAAACGATTAACTAACAGGCAAGCTTTACAATGAATGAATATAGGACAGGGGCACGTTTTCACCACGTTCTGTCTGGGGAAATGCAGGTGAAAAAATGCGCTACAGCAAAATTAGGAACAACTATTTGTAACAACTTGTGTCGGTTTGAATTTTAAACAAACATGTGCAATTTTTGGCCTTTTTTCACTTTTTTTTTTTTATAACCGGTACTTTTGTCTACAAACCTTTTTGCTGCCTCGTGATTTTGTGCCCATCTGAACAGCATGAAATTATTTTCAACTCATGAGATGGGTTGAGATAAAAGTGACGGGGAGTGATAAATTTAAATATTTACAATATTTTAGATTTTAGTTAGAAATTGTTTTTATTCTCTTCTGCTTGCCAAGTTGCTGAAACGCAAAACCATGTGTGAAACACGAGGCACGTGTTTTGCAAAGGCCGGTGGGCAGCAAGAGAGAGAGGAGGAGAAAAACGCGACTTGAAAAAAAAATAGTGCGTGCGTTTTTTCCCGCGACACTTGATCTCTATAGCCTGTTTACGGGTGCGTTTATCTGCTCGATGACGAGTCATGAGGGAGTGACACTCTTAGCTTAGACTACAAAAATAATGCGAGTGTTGTTTGTCACTGTAAAAATTACTAGACGGAGATAAGAATCCGTCCTCTAAAGTGACGAAGATCGTTTTCATGTTATGGTATTGAATTCTATATACAAGGATCTGTTCCATTTCATTTGGTTAAAGAAAGTGACAGCAATGCTCGTGTAACTTTTTACATTGATGTAAATTGACTTTGAAAAATATCATTTTGAATAATAAAAACCACAAAATGTGTGCAGGGATCTGTCATTGACTATTCAAAGTCTTCCTCAGAGAACTGTTAAAAACTTTGATCCCATTATTTATTAATTGAATTTAAACAATTATTATAAACCTGACATTAGATTTCATGAAAATTTTATAATACTGAAAATAAATAAAAATTAGGGACGGGAAAAATACTTTTCAACTTTTAATCCATTTATGGGGAAATAAATAATTGGATCAATTTAAACAAAGGTTCCCTTTTTTCATTAAAATTGAGGTTTTAATTGAAATTATCGTAAAATCACCGATATAATGATGAAAAGCCACTCATTTTTCATCCTTTTCAAAGTGCCTATTTTCATATAAAATTTGATATATTTAAATTTTCAACACCTATTTAAAAAATAATTAAAATTTCCTTTTAACAGTAGCCAAAAAACACAAAATTGTTACATAAGAAATGATCGCCTGTTTTGAGGGACAGAAAATTATTCTCAGACGCCTAATTTTGTTTTCGATTTAAAGTTTGATCAATTCATTTTTCATCATTTTTGAACCAGAGATAAAAGTAAATAAATTGAAGATAATCAGTAAAAGCAGAAGATAAAATATTCAATTGATATAAAAACGAATTTATCATTAAATTGTAGTTTAATTTTATTGTTTGAAGAAGTTGACACTCGAGGAGATGATCATGGAAATGAAGCGATCGGGCTTTTCCTCGTTGCAGAAAAATTGTTTTTATTTAGCGCGTTTGCTCATGAAATAGGTTGGTACCTGAATTTGTTAGTTTTTAAGATTTTAATTTTTATTTTAAAATGTGGTGTTTTTTCAATTTGCTGATTTTTTGTATTTTTTCTTGCTCATGAAATAGGGTCGCAGACCGTGACCGAAACTGGTAGAGCCATTTGTTTTTTAATAAAAACAATTTTTCTGCAACGAGGAAAAGCCCGATCGCTTCATTTCCATAATTTTATTGTGTTGCTATTTTTTTAATCAGTGATATTGTATTTAACAATTTTTATTCCATTACATGTTAATAGAAATGATTTAAACTTTAATTTTTTTAATCAGGGGAAAAACATTGAAGGTCTTCTTCGCAAAACTAGTAAAAATTAGTTGAAAAATCAATTTTTTTTACAACACTAACTTTACCGGACTAATTTTATGGGAAACTTTGAGAATTGAAAAGAAGTCAACTTACTTCGAGATCCATGCTGCGGGTCAGGGCGGCAGACGCCGGGCCACCCTGTTGGTCACCAGCAAGGGTGTGTCTGCGCGGGTCGTCGCGCCTGCCACGACTGCCGCCTCTTCTCAAGTCCTCATCTTTGCTGCCCGCCGGAGCTGCAAAACGAAAAAAAAATCCCATTTTATTTACAAGGAACAATTTTGTTCATAACATTATTTTTTGCACACGTCAACCGATTTATTACGTTAATTGGTGATCGATTCGGTTGCCAAGAGATGGGCTGCCATCAATTCCGGCCAATAAATGGCAGCATTAAATTATATGAGGCAACGACGCGTGCCTCCACCCGTGCTCCAGCAGCGAGAAACCGGAGCCCAAAATTAGACGCAGATCCGAGTGTTTACAATACGCGTCGGGTGCCTTCAAAATTAGAATGATATGCAACAATGCGCGGCCATCTGGCCTGCCATCGACGGCAGCGATCGACTTTGGTATGTGTGGGGTTAGGGATGGTTATCTGGGCTGAGCCAAAACTGGGAGTTTACCATCGTAAAAAAAAAATGCAGCTTCAGGGATGGAATGATCAAAGTTGAAGAATATTAGAGAAATTTATAATAATAATAATATATGATCAATGTTCTAAATAACCGAATGTAGTCACTATTTTGCCATTGAAATGTTGGTTCATTTTAAATTGTAAGAGAACAAATCGCAAAAATTTATCCTAATAAATATTTTAGTTGAATGTATTTAAATGAAAAGAATAAAAAAAATTACAAATTAAACATAGTATAATATTTAAATAAAATTAACAATATTACATTGAATTATATTAATAAATAATTTTTATAAATGAAGCGCTAAGAAAAGTATTTATTTATTTATTTATAAGTAATAACTTAAAATCTCAATATAAAACAGTTACTTTCTTTAAATTTTGTAAGTGCGAGTGTTTTTTTTTCTGTAATTTTTTGTGTAGAGTTGCGTCATGTTTGTGTTCTTAAGTATATTCCAGTTTCCGATTTTGTTTTCCAAAGAAATCTTCACGTGGATTCAGAAACTGAGCTACTTGGAAAACGAATTAAAATGTCAACTTTTAATTGGATATTTTGACTTTTTTATTCGTTATCTGAGAGCAGTGGTTTTCTCGCTCAGTTTCTGAATCCATGTTAAGGTTTCTTTGAAAATTTTTTACTTCTTTTCACCTAAAAGTCAGTGAATACAATATTATTTAATTAGAGAAAAATTAATTTTAAACTATTAATTAATTAACATTTGACAAAATTTTTGTTTTGAGCTTTTTTGTTTCTGGGTCAGAATGGTATTTTTGTGTTTAATTATCTGCTGATCTCTTATGAACTGTTCTAGTTCCGAAATTCGAGCATCCCCTTTCAGACCTCACTGACGGTATCTCTTTCCCAGACGCATGCCTGCACGAGCCCGGTTAGCTATGCAGCCTCCGAGCGTCCAACCAACGCCCATCTCTGGAGGATTCGCTCAACGCCACACATGCATAAATATGTGTGTTCCGGGTTTGTGCTGCTTCGCCACCAGCGAGCGGATTTTGATAATGGAACTAGGGTAGAGACGATCGGCAGGTGTGCACCGGCGTGGGAGAAGAGCAAATAATACGCTCGGATGACGACGAAAACGGTGCTCGGGGATTTCGGGGCGGAAAATGAAAATTTAGCCTTCGGGGAATATCAATCAATCATTTTTGACGGAATTCTCAAATTTTCAATAAAGTGGCAAATACGAGAGCTGGCAGAAATTTAAAATTAGAATTTAATATAAATATTAACAAAAATATTTAATAACAGTTTTATCCTTTCAAATTTCGAATATTGAATTTTTAGAAAAAGCTCAATGCTTTTACCAGTTTTGATTTTATATAATATTGTGAACAAATTTATAAAATACTAGAGTTGAGAAGAAAATACTGTTGCAGATTAACAAAATTGGATTCAAATTAATTATGAATTAATTAAGAAAAAAATACAAATAAATAAATAAATTTATTCTTAATAAATAAATAATAATATAATGTAAATAATATTTTATGACCCGAAATCTGCTGAACTAAAATTAAGAATTATTTATTCAAATTAACTTCATTTTACCCAGGTCAATGCAGTTAATAAAAAAATTAAATTAAATGATACCTGGGGACCTTTAAATAAACACTGAGATTTTGGTAGAAAAATTACACATTGCCTTAAATTGGTTCTCCAACATTCTGACTTACTTTCATTGCACTTTTCTCAGAATTTAAGGCTTAAATTCTGAGAAAAGTGCAATGAAAGTGCAATGAAATTAAATTTTAAGCGAATAAAAAAACAGTTTGGATTTTTTGCTCCATGCTGTTTTTCTCCCCAACTTGAGTATCTCTTTTGCTCACCGGGAGACCGACGGTGATGTGCGTGTTGCCTAATTTCGTGCCGCTCAAGAGCAGGCTTTTGATCATTAGACCGTTCTGCGAGTGTTGTTATACACTTGATGAGGTCCCGCGTACTTGAGGCCCGTTTTAAACATTCGCTCAAATAAGCGCATTGCCATTAGGCGGGCGGGTCATTATTCCTCAAGAGGGGCCGGTCACTTTTGGCCTCCATCCCTCTGTAATAAATTTAGCGTGCGCCAAAAAGACGGAAAAAAAACTGGTACCCTTTTCCATGCATAAACAAGCACCCTTATTATTATTTTGTCGCCTAGACAGACACGCGAGGAATGAACTGAATATATAAAAATGTTGCCCGTGACGTCACTGCGCTTCTGACGGCGAGAAAAGTTTCAGCAAAGCATGAAGCGGATCAGAGAGCAAGATATAAGACTGGCGGGTGATTACATCAGGGCCCAAAATAAAGAAAAGGCGCAGCAGGCACTGAGTGCGCTCCGAGGTCTCTTTCGCCCTAAAACTTTTAAAGAGTTTCATTTGCTTTGTACGAAAGGGCATATCAGGAAGGAGTAAAAAGATGTAGAGAGAATGAGAAAGAGTGAAAACCAGGCAAAGTTTCAGCCTGGCCGAAATTAAATTTGCACTTCCTACGGCATTTCATTCAACGTAGCATTAAATTTCTTCCTGCAAAATGCCGCAATCCCTTCTTATAAATTTTTCCATTTAAAAATTCTAACATACTTTCGCTTAAAAGCAAGTTTTTTTTGTCTTTCAAAATAATAATTCTCCTTACCTTGAACCCCATTTGAGTGACAAATTTTGATATGAAAAACTTATATATTTTATATTTGAAAGTCAAAATAGTCAAACAGATTTTCACTATTCGACGTCAAGCCACTTGAAGTGATAAGAAGCTTCTTTCTTCCTCTTGTTAGATTACAAAGCGTGGCTATATTTACCGAAGATAAAATTGTTTAACTTGGGCCCCTTTGAAAAAAAGCAGCTTCGTCCGTCGACTGCTCGTCTCTGTATAGCTTCTGTTTCCGAGAGTAATGAGCCCTCTGGAGGATTCTCTGCGCAAGAACAATGAGAATTCACCCCTTGTGTTCGAATTCCGATTTGGTCCAAACAAGGCTGACGTTTCCAATGGGCTGCTGTTGCTTGTCTTTCGATTCCATTCAAGTTAATGGCTAAACTTTTGTCCGACTGTAAAGCATTGTTTCCTTCTAAAAATCGGTAGGTTGGCAGTGATTTTTCTAATCAACTTCAAAATTGGTTGTCGTTAAATTTCTTAAATTCAAATTTTTTTTTAAATTTAGCAATTTTACAGTCAATTCATGGTGTTTGATTTGTAATTAGGTTTTTCATAATTGGTTATTTGAGTCGGTCGTTTATTATTCTGTCAAAAAGAATAAAGGGCTCAAATAACCTATTGATCCGAATTCAAATTCAAGCACCAAAAAGTATCAAATTATCTGGAAATTTATCTCGCAATTTCATTTTCATTTATTTAATTTTGATGGGAATAGAGAAAAAAATACATAAAAGTTCTCAAAATTTCATTTTTTAACCATACTACAAAGTCCACAAAAAAATTTATGTTTGAATGAAAAATTGCTGCAAATTTAAAAAAAATTAATTTGTAGTTTTGTTTTGAAGGAAAGAGTTAAAAATTTCATTGCATTTTCTGCTAACAAAACTCGCCCTCGCATCGATTGAAGGATATTAAATTCCAGAGCTGCCTTCTCGGAATTTGCGGCCCTTTAGCCTTTTGCCTTTTACAATTTCAACAGCCGACTGGGGGCGCGAGCGTGTATTTTTGGCTCAGATTGGATTGTAATTTGATTTATAATCGGTTCGTTCGCAAAAACCAGTCAGAGAGACGCGCATAGCTCAGCAGCTCCTCTCGCATCCCTCTCCCTGTTTCTCTTTCGTTGATTGCCCGTCCAAAACACTACACACACATCCCCAACTTGCTCCCATAACATGACTCATTCTTCGCCGCACAACAACTCAATTCCCACGCAAATTCATCCTGACGGGTGCATCACCCACCAGAAATAAATACATACACACGCGCGAGCGAATTAATTCCTCTTAGAATTTGAGCGCAGAAATGGAAATGAGGCTCCATTTACAAGAAAATGTTTTGGCACGTTTTCAAAAAAGCAAAAAACGCGTCCAGAGCCACCAGCAATTAGTGGTTAATTTGTAATTTGGAGGCGTCCCGAGTGTCACTTTTTAAATTAAGGATGACATTTTAAACAGAATTGTCTTGAAAGGATGAAAGTGCAAAATTTAAGTTTGAAAATTTTCTGATATTTGCTAAGCAAGCCATGTTCATTTTATTTTTTTAATTTTATAACAGTTTAGGGAAAAAATCATTTCTAAGATGCTTCTTTTATATCTAAAACGGGTAAAATTTTTAGAGTTTTCATTCTGCTATTTATTTAGCAATGGAATACAAAAAGAAAAAAAATTATAAATAATATTTCTTAATATATAATTTAAATTAATAATTATTTAAAATTTAAAAGTTTTTATTATAATTAAAATTTATTAATAGAATGGAAAAATGGATTTTTGGGAATAGAACGATTAAAATCGTTAAAATTAAAGAATTCTTTGAAAAAGTATACTATTTAATTATTTATATAAATGCCTATCATGAAATGCATATTCCAAATATTTAAAAAAAAATTACAATAAGTTTGGGAATAGAAAAATAAACATAAATTAGTCTGAAAAACGTTATTGAGAAAA